CAGGTGCTATAAATAAAATGGGATTAGCCGCTATTTATAACTGATTTACTGTATTTATTAATATTTTACATTTCTTTACAAGCAAGTGATCTAAGGTTTAAATGGGGCTGGCGGAGGTTTTTGTTCATTACCTAGTCGTTCGGATGGGACGAAAAACTGATGCCCTGTTTAGGGGCCTACACTAAATTCTATATTAGTGTTTGCCGTTGTGCCGCTGTCCGGGCAATCACACTTTATGGCGTATGCAGAAGAATAGGACGTTAAACCCTCGTTTCCATTTAGTCAAATTGAATAAGTTTATGGAGTCTCTGTGTGTATGACATATGTGAAACGGAGCAGAACCTTAGAACCGCATTACAGGATATGGCGGCCATTTACGGCAGAGATCTATTCTCGAAGTAGAGTAGATAGTTCTCTGTGTGCAGAAGGTTATATTTTTCCCATCTAAATTAGAAAATAAAGGCAGGAGGATTCGATCTTTCCTCTACGGAGTCGCTTAAGTCAGTACCGGATCTTAGGGGGCAAAGTGGGACAAAGTCCAGGGCCCCCCACATTTAGCCCCCCCCCCCCCACAATTCTGGGTCATACTAATATTTTTTCCCGGACGGAGCCAACCAGTACTTGGGCTGAGGGGGCGAGGATTGGGGCCCTGGGCAGTAAGGGATATTGGGGGCCCCGGGACTGCTAGGTACCAACAGATTTTCGGGGGCCCAGTATATCGCTGCCTAAATTGTCTCAGATGCACTGAAATTAATCCTAATTTTAAAAACAAATTCCTGGAAGAAAACACCCCAGGCACTCAAGGGGGCGGAGTACATACTAGTACGATCCGCGGTCAGTACGAACATTTTGAACAAACAACAATGGGGCCCCTGCAAAGTTGGTATGTCCCGCCCCCCCCCCCAAGGTTTATCCGGCACTTGTTTAAGTACACGATTCTACTCTTATATAATTGTTTCGTGCACGATTCTACTCTTATATAAACTCTTATATAATTATTTCGTTTAAACGAATTAATATTTGGTTTAAACGAATTAATATTTGGTTTAAACGAATTAATATTTGGTTTAAACGAATTAATATATCGTTTATATCGTTATAACGAAATATTAAATCGTAATAAAGAATTATATATTTTGCTTAAAAGAATTAATTATCATGTTTAAACGAATTGATTATCTTGTTTTAACGAATTAGTTATTATATCGTTAATAAGAAACGAACTAATTATTTTATTTAAACGAATTAATTATTTCATTTAAACGAGAAAGCCAGAGAGAGGGTGGGGGGATATTGATATTTCGTTTAAACGAAATGATTATATAAGAGTGGAATCGTGCACTTAATGAGCTCCGTATTTCTGAAATGAAATGAAATGGGGTTTAACGTCCTACTATTCTGCTCCGACTGGGCAAATGAAGACGGGCATGCGACATACAGTGTGTTATGCGGGAATATTGGCCCCGGCAGCGGCACTATGGCCTACTCTTATATCGAATTCCAACTGCCAAGGGATCTTTTACACCACGCCAATGATTACACGGGATCTCGGTTTTTCGTACCATCCGAACGACTAGAAAGCTGTCCGTAGACCCTTCGTCCTGCACCACTCTTATATCGAATTCAAACTGCCAGGGGATCTTTTACGTGCATTCCAATATACACACGGGACCTCGGTTTTTCCTCTCACCCGAAGGACTAGACAGCTGTCCTTGTCAGGCCCTCCGTCCTACATCACTGACAAGGGGAAACCACGTCGGAAAATCCCGATGAACTTTCTCGGCCAATGCAGCGATCGAACACGCGACCTCCAGGCTCGCTAGCCAGCGCCGTACCCACTTAGCCACAGTGGCTCCCTTCTGTAGTTCTTCATGCGTACATTCACAAAAGATTTACGGTCTAACTGACATTATTTTGATGTTTCAACTGTTATCAATCATTTGCTATTTTTATTTCATTCTTGATATAAAAAAGAAACTAAATCAAAACTGTAGGTGGCGAGAATCTTCAGAAGGTTTACAGCTCGTGGTTGTCAAGGAAATTCGTGATCATACATACCTATTGAATTTGACGTCATGTCCAATAAATATCTTTATAACCCACAATGTAGATGTATTTATCTGGACATTTTTCCCGGCAATACATTTTAAAAATGACAACTATATCTAAGTTAACTGGGCATTAAGGGAGATTAGATAAAGAGTTGACTGTTCTCGCTATAATAGTTAAAAAATAGATAACGTAAATAGAATATGCTGAAAATTTATGTCAAACTGCTGCACTCTGAACCTAGATATTAGCTTTTGAATTTAAGGCTAGCCTTGATCATCATTACTAAAGTCGGTACCATAAAATACAAAGTATCGATTTAATCATTTTTCAAAAAATGAATTCCAATCCGCTAAATATCGCAGGCTAGCGATGGCATCGATAGTTGAATACGGTCTGGATAATTTAGATAACATTTCAGGCCTAAAGAAAGACCTGCAATAGACAGATTTAGCTCTTGCATAATGTATGTTTAAATATGGTTGGTTTAATCGAATAAAAACAGGGACGTTTTTGCCAGAAATGGATAGTAGATTGGTAACAAGTACTATAAATGAAATGATTGAGTATAATTAAATAGGGTTTAACGTTCTAATGTTCTACACCGACTGGGCTAATGAGGGAAATTTGGTCCGGACAGCCGCGCTATGGCTCATTCTTATAGATATTCCATCGGTCAAGTCATCTTAAAGACAAGTCAATGTGTACACGGGACTTAGACTTTTCGTCCCATTCGAACGAATATACTATGTCCCTCCGTCCTGCACCACTGACAAGGCGTAAACACGCCGGAAAATCCCAATGAACTTTTCTCGGCCAGAACTGGAATCGAACACGAGACCCCCAATGTCTAAGAATGCATTAAGAAATTTGGACTGTTCGCGTATTTCACCGAACATAAATAATTATAAATTACAATAAACTTTTTAAACATTAGAAAAAAAACAAAACACTTTTAATATACATTAACATTTCATTAATATGTGCTTTTAGACCCACTTATGGAAATGAAATGAAATGAAATGGGGTTTAACGTCCTACTGTTCTGCCTCTATACTGGGCTAATGAAGACGGGCATACGCCATACAGTGTGCTATGAGGGAAATTTTGCCCGGACAGCGGCACTATCGCCTACTCTTATATCGAATTCGAACTGCGAGGGGATATTTTACGTGCATTCCAATATACACACGGGACCTCGGTTTTTCGTCTCATCCGAAGGACTAGACAGCTGTCCTTGTCAGGCCCTCCGTCCTGTATCACTGACAAGGGGGAACCACGCCGGAAAATCTGGATGAACTTTCTCGGCCAATGCAGGGATCGAACACCCGACCTCCAGGCTAGCGAGCCAGCGTCTTACCCACTTAGCCACGTGATCCCCTACCCACTTATGGTCCCAGAGAATAAGCGTCATACGCCCTTTAAAGACGCATTATGTAAGATTTTTTAATTAAAAGCTGGTCGTTCTTGCTATAAATAAAATATAACCAAGTACGAACAATCCAAACCATTAGACAAAGCTCGAAGTCCTAAAAAAACGGTATAGGCAAAATGGTGTAATCAGCATATGGACTGTTCACTGTGTACAAAATACACGACAAACAGTGGTACAGGTGTCCGGAAGAGTAAGCTTACCCTGCCTGGCGCCACACCCGCCATAGCTGCATCCAAACTATTAGGCGAAATCTCGGTAAAATAGCGCGATTGGCCAATGGACTATCGGTATGCAAAATGCACGTGATGAACAGTGTTAACGATGTAGTAGACAGACATTATCAGGGAGATAGTATACGCGTCAATAAAATATATCTAGAATAATAGCCGAGAGTTCAAAAATAAATAATGGAATGAATTTCAGTTAAATTACTTTATTCTGAGCCAAAATATTAGCGAAATATAGGGAAAATTTTAAATTAAAGTTTTGATCCAGTATACATAGTCTCGATTTTCAAGTGTCATTACTAATACACAAAGTGTCGGTCATCCATTTTTCACAAAACACTCTTAGACTTAAGTTAAGAATTTACTCAAAATTGATCGCCTTACTTTAACTAAAATATAGCCCTTTATAAACTTTTGTTGTTTTAATGTACCAAATGCATCCATAAGAAACTATGTGCAATTTTTGGTGTTTCTGGATCAAAGATATTTCTCATGAACAGTGATTGAAAGTTGTGTTTTGTGTAGCCGGGCCAGATTTATATCTTGCCCCAATGTATCTTTTATTAAATATAAAATAATCAATTTAGGTACATTGTAGCGTTACCTAATCCGTAAAATATAAAAATATTGTCCGAAAATTGAAAATACGTGATTGGCTGTACATGTCTTTAGTAGATGATTCTGAATTTCTTATTTCAGCTTTATCTGCCGTTGTTCAAGACCCCTACGCTTCAAAGAACCCTTTCAGTAATGTAGGAGTTAAAACTCCCATAACAGGGAGTACATTTTTCGAAGTTAGCGGTTGGCCACGACAACAAATGGCAATATCACCAGGTCCTTCAACTCCATTCCCGACAGGATTGGCCCCTTCACAAAATGGAATGCCTCAACCAGCGACAGGGACACCAAACCCAACTCTAACAGCACCAGTATCACCCCAACCAGTGTCAGGACAAAGGCAGCCTTCAAATCCGTTTTTTATTGGTCGGCCTACATCAGTATCAGGAACACCACAATCAGCAGGGGGGGCCCCAAACCCGTCTACTAATGGCTTGCCTGCATCAGCGCCAGGGACTCAACAACTTGCGGCATCGAACCCATATCGTACTGGCTGGCCTACATCAGGAACTCCGCAACCAGCGGCGAATCCATCTAATCCGTCTCTTAATGGCTGGCGCACATCCGTGCCAGGAAGATCGCAACCAGTGGCGCAGCCAAAAAACCTGTCTCTTACTGGCTTGCCTACATCAGTGTCGGGAACACCCCAACCAGCGACTGGGTCGTCAAACATGTCTCCTAATGGTTGGCCTACATCAGTTCCGGGAACACCACGATCAGCCCAAAGATGGTCTCCTACAGGGTTGGTTCCAGAAACTGCGAACCCAACACAACAAATGTCAGGAACAGGGCGACCTTCAAATGCATTTCTTTTTGGCCGGCCTACATCGGTATCAGGAACACCACAGCTAGCTACGAGCCCCGCAAACTCGTCTACTAATGGCTGGCCTGCATCAGTGTCAGGGACTCAACAAGTAGCGGCAAAGTCGTCGAGCCCATTTCGTACTGGCTGGCCTACATCAGGAACTCCGCAGCCTGCGGCGAATCCATCGACGAACCCGTCTCTTAATGGCTGGCTCAAGTCCGTGCCAGGAATGCCGCAACCAGTGGCGAAGTCATCAAACCCACCACAACCAGCGGCTGGGTCAAAGACCTTGTCTCCTAATAGCTGGCCTACATCAGGAACTCCGCAGCCTGCGGCGAATCCATCGACGAACCCGTCTCTTAATGGCTGGCTCAAGTCCGTGCCAGGAATGCCGCAACCAGTGGCGAAGCCATCAAACCCACCACAACCAGCGGCTGGGTCAAACAACTTGTCTCCTAATGGCTGGCCTACATCAATGCCAGGATCACAACAACCAGCCGCAGGCTTGGTTCCAAAAACAGCGAACCCAACTCTAACAGCACCAGTATCACTACAATCAGTGTTAGGATCACCACAAGCAGCTGCGAGGCCCACAAACCCTAATGGATGGCCTACATCTTTATCAGGAACTCCACAAGCGGCGCAGTCATCGAACCCGATATTACCTAGCTGGCCTACATCAGTGTCAGGATCACAACAACCAGCATCAGTGTCGGGAACACCCCAACTAGCGGCTGGGTCAAACAACTTGACTCCTAATGGCTGGCCTACATCAGTGTCAGGATCACAACAACCAGCATCAGTGTCGGGAACACCCCAACTAGCGGCTGGGTCAAACAACTTGACTCCTAATGGCTGGCCTACATCAGTGTCAGGATCACAACAACCAGCATCAGTGTCGGGAACACCCCAACTAGCGGCTGGGTCAAACAACTTGACTCCTAATGGCTGGCCTACATCAGTGCCAGGATCACAACAACCAGCACCGGGATCACTACAACCAGCTGCGAGGCTCCCAAACCCAAGTGGATGGCCTACATCTGTATTAGGAACTCCACAACAAGCAGCGCAGCCATCGAACCCGATTTTAACTGGCTGGCCTACATCAGTGTCGGGTACACCCCAACCAGCGGCTGGGTCAAACAACTTGTCTCCTAATGGCTGGCCTACATCAGTGACAGGAACACAACAACCAGCAGCAAGATGGTCTTCTACGGGCTTTGTTCCAGAAACAGTGAATCCAACACAACAAAGGGTACCAGCAGTACCAAAACCTATTACTAAAACAAATTCTGTTCCTCCCGTAGGTAATTCAATTCGAAGCCTTTGGGCTGCTCGTTTGGCGTCCAGAAAACCACAAAAGACGCCAGTAACATCAATTCCGTCATTAAAAGATGGACTACAAAAACAAGCACCTTTGGTTTTCACAACTAGAATGCCACAATATGCAACAAGCGCACCACAAATACAACAAGAATCAAAACCACTTTCTGCAAGTTGGGACATAAAAGCCACTCTGTCACAAATGGCACAAAGAGTATCAAAAGAGCAACAACAGCTAAGACTATCAAACTCAATAAGTAGTAGTAGTGTGCCTACTTCTACAAAACAACAACCTGTATTGCAGCAACAAGTAACAGAACCATCGCAAACGACACCACAGCAAGTATCAACTGTACCCAGTTTAATTCAATCAGCGATCGATATGGTACAGAAAGTACAAGGGGCAGGCGGTGCCCAATCTTCTAATGCTATCTCTACTGGTCAAGTACAATCTTCTACTTCTTCCAAAGTTGACACCGGAACTCTGAAGCAATTGTCATCCGTTATTTCTGATTTAACGCGTTACCTGGAAAGTACATTAGGAATGCTTAATAATACCGCAAATGAAACACCCAAGGAGAGCCTGCAGACCACCCCTGGTAGTTCATTGCCCAACATAAACACGCCAACATCCATGCCATCATCGCCATCTAGCCAGCCAATAATAACAGAAACGTTAAATCAGCCTATTGTAACAAATAGTATTCCGTCAAATGGAGTGAATGCAGATATACCAGCTCCATTTACAGAAATGCCGAATATGTTTAACCCACTTACAGAGACACCGGGCGCGTCAAACACACAGCCTGCGCCTATTTCTATGTCAGATGTACTACGTTCGAGATTTATGAACCGAGGTTTACCCACTCAATCACAAACGGCACCAATTAACAATTCTCCATCGAACATAATAATTGAAAGAATAGCTGAGTCCGTGCCGACAGCTCCGCCAACAGAAGTCATCAATGCAAACCAATTACCAAGTGATCCAAACGCCCTGGCCAACATGAACTTGTTACCAGCAGCGACAAGTGGTTCTGAACCTACACCAACCAACCAAAATGCACTAGGTGATGCATTATCTATTTTTAGTACATCTGGCAATTCTCCATTCACGATATCAGGTAATGACAAAGTAGAGATTACTGACCAGTTCACGGTCCAATAACTAAGCCTGTTATGTATTTTCGATGCAGCACGCCCAATAACACATCGTCTTTTTTTTTAAAAAAAGAGAGAGAGAAATGAGGTTTAACGACCACTCGACACAACCCAGGTACTAACTTTGGGACTAACTTATGGTACATTTTTATTTCAACAAATTGCTTGCGCGTAGGGGTCTTTAGTAGTGGGGGAAGACGGGAGGGCCCGGATAAAACCCACGAGGTTGGACAAGCGACCCTACCAATTGTCGCGTATAGTCGGGCAAATGAAACCACGCCAGTTGACTCAATGACAGACCTTATGATGCAACGCGCGCACGCTAACCATTCGGCCATCCAACCCCCCATTTGGGCACAAGCAATAAAAAAAATAAGTCGATTGGTTTATATCTAGGTCGGTGGTTAAGATCCGATTAACATTATTTACGTTTGAATTTAAAATTCGTGAATAAGCTAATACGTCATAATCTTTTTTCAGAATCAAGGCACAGTTCCATATCCACAGCAACCGAAAGTCCATTCACTGCCGTTGCGCAAGATAATCAAGCTCCTCCAGAGCCTTTGGTAACAAATGCAGCTCCATCCACAGCAGTAAATGCAGTTACAGCATTTGCAGAAACGCCGTTAAATCAAGCAACAGCCGAGGCAACAAGTCAGACAGTGCTACCAGTAGAGCAGGCGGGGACACAAACGGGTAACACAGGGTCGTTAACGGATCGATTTGCCTCCGCTGGTGCGTCAACAAATCAAGAGGCAATAAATCCAGCTACAACAGTGGACCAAGCATCATTAGTAGAAACGCCGCTAAACCCAACAGGAACACGTCTGACACCATCAGAAATGCCCATAGAGCAGGTTGGAACACAAGCTGGTACGCAAATGAATCAAGTGGCAGTAAATCCAGCTACAACAGTGGACCAAGCATCGTTAGTAGAAACGCCGCTAAACCCAACAGCAACAAGTCTGACACCATCAGAAATGCCAATAGAGCAGGTTGGAACACAAGCTGGTACTCAAATGAATCAAGCCGCAGCAAATCCAGCTACAACAGTGGACCAAACATCATTAGCAGAAACGCCGCTAAACCCAGCACCAACAGCTGGAACAGTTACAGCAGTAGACCCAACAACATTAGCAGAAACGCCGTTAAACCCAGCAGCAACAAATCCGACACCAACAGAAATGCCAATGAAGCCATCTGGAACAGTTACAGCAGTAGACCCAACAACATTAGCAGAAACGCCGCTAAACCCAGCACCAACAGAAGTGCCAATGGAGCCGACTGGAACAGTTACAGCAGTAGACCCAACAACATTAGCAGAAACGCCGTTAAACCCAGCAGCAACAAATCCGACACCAACAGAAATGCCAATGAAGCCAGCTGGAACAGTTACAGCAGTAGACCCAACAACATTAGCAGAAACGCCGCTAAACTCAGCAGCTACAAATCCGACACCAACAGAAATGCCTATGGAGCCCGCTGGAACAGTTACAGCAGTAGACCAAACAACATTAGTAGAAACGCCGCTAAACCCAGCACCAACAAGTCCGACACTATCAGAAATGCCAATAGAGCCGATTGGAACTCAAGCTGACCCTTCAGCACAACAAGTCGCTGTAGACCCCACCACACCAGGACAAGTTATGAACCCCGAGCAGTCACTGAACACGATAACTGAGTCTGTGGGAAACCCGTCTTGGCAAACCAACAATGCTGTTAATATTAATCAAATTAACCCTGATCCCAATCCCAATACTAGCTTGGGGCCCCTTCAAAACGAGCAGATGGTAGTTGGAAATAATCCTTTTGAAACTTCGAATAAAATAGTGTTAAGCCCAGCCGCAGCTACTATTCCCGGATCGCCAATCGCGCAGACAGCAGGTGCTGGTTTCGCCGACCAAGCACCAGAAACACCAATATCAGAAACAGCAAACTCAAGTCAACAGGGAACAATGCCCAATTTTAACCTTGCTCAATGGAACGCTCTACGAAGTTTTATGGCAGCATTTCCCCAAGTCTCACAGGCGGGACTGCTCCGGGGACTTGGGGCGCTTCCGCAAACAAGTATTACCCAACCACAACCTGTAGTAGCACCACCGCCATCCACCATGCCACCACAGAGTACTTCTGTGGTTGAACCACAGCCAGAGGCCGCCCAGTCACAAACTGTTTATCAGCCACAAGGCACAGTTCAACCTCCCACTGAAGGGCAAGCACAGCAGGTTGTAACAGTACAAGTTGCTTAGCAACCACACAATATCTAGACAGTAAGCTACAGACAGTCCGTCGTAAACGTATGTTAACCGTAAATGGGTATTCAAACCTAATATTCTATAGGGCTGATTGTGAATTAACCTATCCCTGGCATCCATCTGTATGACGTATAAACACAACGTCAACCAATCAGATTATTTCGTCGTTGTTACGTGATCATCAAAGCGACGACCCTTTTTCTCCGACAATCTAAAAATTCAATAAGTTTTCAATTTTTTAAATTTATGTGTTTTCTAATCTAAAACATTTTCTGTAAAAACTAAGGCCTGAAAAAGGTTTCACGGAGATGTTAAAATGTCACACTGATCAGAAGTGAATATTCGCTAGGCCGCTACAATCGCTTAGGAGGGATGGCATTGGCGTGGCTTAATGAGCTCACGATATCAACATTTTTCCATCCACAAATTAAATCCTAAAACATTTTTTTGAAGTATTAGAAAAATAAATAAAGGTGTTAGAAGTATATCAAGATAAAAAAAATATTTCTTGTTTTGTGTAAAAGGCACCGACCTGCCCGGACCAGTTAACGCAACAACGCCTTATGTAAACAATGCACGCGCCGTAGAGCCAAAAATGGACGCCCCGTGATGTGACGTCACCTGGTCAATTAGTTATCTATTACAGGGATATAACAAGGCTTTTACAATAACTCAATGGAAGCGGGCGACAAATAAAGTTATTTCACACACCCGCACACACCTCTATGGAACAGATTGGTAAAATGTAGGTTGTCTGAGAAAAACGCATAGCCTAGTCACGTATTGTCATGGTGACGTGGCTATCTGCAATGGGGATAGGTTTATTTTACTATCTAAAGCGTTTGAACGTTTCGAACTGAAGTGGATTAGATGTGATACTTCTCGCGTGGTCTCTGTCTTTGGATTAAAGTAACAGAATTTCCATTATTTCTTGTAAGGAAGGTTTATTACGGGGTGTTTTTGTACGTGGTGGTGGTAATTTGTTTCAAACTGGGTAATTTCGAAAAGAACTATGCCATCATCTACTGTTTACGTTTCAATGTACATACTGTTCAGTGTAAGGGTATATGACCTCCCCACCGTTGTTTTTTTTGGTTGTTTTTTTCGATTTGAGAAGCATTATGTAAGATTTAAATAAAGAGTTGGCTGCTCTTGCTATATAATAGTTCAGGCATAGATAATGAAAAATGAATACATGTATATTGAAAATTTCAGTCAAATCTTTTCTTTTTTTCATTTTCTTTTTTTTTGAGCCAAGTTATGAGTACAATGTATTTGAAGTTTTGACAAGATAATCTCTGTTGTCGTGTAACATTTCATTCTAATTGTTCCTTTGCGAGCGAGGATATTAGCTTTTGTAGGTTTGACAAGGTGTGTGCATTTCTTGCAACCACCACTGGTTTTTCGAAGCTTTGCCTCGCGTCACCATTTTTTAGATTAAACCAAAATATGGCTGAACCTTTCGAATCTACTTAATATCTGAGATATCCGATGACATCGTGAGTTGATTATGGTCTTGTCGTGTTAATAAAAGTCTAATTAAAACATGTAGTTTACATAACATTTCAGGCCTTAAGGACCTGCAACAGGCAGAGTTAGCCCTTGCATAATGTATGTTTAATAATTTAGATAACATTTCGAGCCTAAAGAAGGACCTGCAACAGGCAGATTTTTCTCTTGTTTAATGGTAAGTGCGGGAGGGCGGCACCCCACATAAACAATTACACAAGACAAACCCTGGACAAAAAACACATTATATAAATTTTCAAACAAACAACAAACGTATATTTTTGTATCAAATCAAGTGAACGTTATTTGGTACTTAATCACTGTATGTTCTAGGGCCTGTTTCACGAAATTTTAACTAAGATAAAATCCAAGTTTTAGTAATTTTATTGGATAATATTAGACTGATTGTAGTGCTTAGCCAATCAAAATTGAAGTATCTACTAAAACTTGGATTTTATCTTTAGCTAAAATTTCCTGAAACAGGACCTGTTTGTTTTTATGGTAAAATATTTTATGAGTAACATTTATGGGTATATTAAATATTTTGTCTCTACAGGAATTTGATATTAAATCACTGAATTTATTTTATGTATTTATTATAATATAAAACATTATTAATAGGTTGTCTCTGGGAAAAAAAGCGGAAAAAATGATTATGGCATTTATGTGATGTCCTAGTTAAATCGTGTCAGCGTATATTTAACAGGTTTTTTTTCCCTAGTATTGTCGACAGAACAAATACTTACATTAATGGAGATAGGTTAAAAAAAAATGACAACTATATCTAAGCTAAATGGACATTAATGGAGATTAGAGAAAGAGTTGACTGTTCTCGCAGTAGTAGTTAAAAAAAATAGATAACCTAAATAGAAAATATTGAAAATTCAGTCAAATTGAACCACCCTGAACCGAGAATTCAGCGATTGAATTTTAGGCCTAGTCTCGGTCATCATTTCTAAAGTCGGTACGATAAAAAAAAAAACATAGTCTCGATTATCCATTTCATGATTTAATCATGAATGAAAGTTGAGCAGCAAATCGGATCCTAATTCAGTAAATATCGCAAGCTAGCGATGACATCGAGAGTTAATTATGGTCTGGATAAGTTAATTAATGTCTAATTTAAATAATATTTCAGGCCTAAAGAAAGACCTGCAATAGGCAGATTTAGCTCTTGCATAGTGTATGTTTAATAAGACGATGCAAGGACAATAAAAGGTTCCTATTTATTTTTAGATGATAGAAGTCACGCATAATTTTATTTGACAGCATTAAAATTTGTCTGTATTTTATGAGATGTCTTTAGGAGTATAAAATTACAAAGCTTACCATTGTCTCAAATATTATAGGCCACCAATAAACAAAAAATGAACCTTTGTAAATTTGTAAAAGAAATAAATATTTATTCTTGTACAAAATGTAATTAATTTATTATTTTTTAATAAAATATTTAACTCCAGGTTGATATATGGAATAGTTCACTAATATGTGTTTGTAGTTAAATAGAAATAGAAATGAAATTGTGTTTAACGTCCTATTACTGTTTTACTCGGACTGGGCTAATAAGGACGGGCATATGTCCTAAAGTGTGCTATATGAGGGAAATTTTGCCCGGACAGCGGCATCATAAAATGGTGGGAAATTTCATAATGTTCAAATATGTTCATCTTGTATTTAAGAGAGAGAGAGAGAGAGAGAGAGAAATGGGGTTTAACGGCCACTCGACACAAACTAGGTCATTTCGGGACTAACATATGGTTTAATTTTATTTACATAATTCGCTTGCGCGTAGGGGTCTTTACAGGTGGGAGGAAACCGGAGGACCCGGAGAAAACCCACGAGGTTGAACAGGCGACCCTGCTCCTTGCCATGTACAACCGGAGATTCGAAACCACGCCAGTCGACTCAATGACAGACTTTATGATACAGCGCGCGCACGCTAACCATTCAGCCATCCAACCCCCCCATCTTATATTTAAGGGCAGAAAGCAATGTTTTACTAACCTATAAGATGACCCTCATTGATATCAACATTATCTCATTTCCACCGCCAATAATTGCCCACACACCACCCCAACAAAGCAAATATCTGTTATCCAGGGATAATCATCATCGTTATATCGACATTATCACATTTCCTGCCATTGTCACGTGGCAAGGAGTAGGGTCGCCTGTCCAACCTCGTGGGTCATCTCTGGGTCCTCCGGTTTCCTCCCACTGCTAAAGACCCCTACGCGCAAGCGAATTATGTAAATAAAATTAAACCATATGTTAGTCCCGAAATGACCTAGTTTGTGTCGAGTAGACGTTAAACCCCATTTCTCTCTCTCTCTCTCCCGCCATTGTCAGATATCAGACCGCCTGCCAACAGCCACTCACCCCCGGCCCTCACACATAAAAACAAAACAGTTATTCAAAAGGGTCCTTTATTACTTATTTGCAATTCAATTAAATGATCATAAACATTTCAACCCTCAAACACCCGGTCACCATTCAGAATCAAAATCTAAGTACAAAACTGCTCTAGAAAAACATGATCTCATAAATTGTCCCCATGAGTGATATTTTTCAAACACTGGCATACGCTAGCACGCAATAGTGTGACACTGACAGGCCCACAATGACACTATATATCTTAAACACAGCTCTTTAAAACAACTATAAAACATCAAAGCTGTCTCAAATGATGCACGTTAAGTCAAATAGCAATTTTTTTGGATCACTGCACGCCTTGATACTGTGGTCCTTTTCAAACCATTCCGTCGCACCTGTGTACCTGGCGTATATTAGTTTCAAAAAGGTTTTCAGTACAGAGAGAGAGAGAGAGAGAGAGAGAGAGGCTACCCTACACCTTGTCACGTACAAACGGCGAATCGAAACTACGCCAGTGTTTTCAGTACAGATTTGATCTTAGCGTTTTGAAAATATGACAAAGAACTAATAAATATCATTGCTTTAAGAAAACGGGTAATGGTTATCGTAGTCGGGGTGATTTAGGACTAACAGTCAGACGCTGTAGGGCCCTTGAGAGGAAAAATATGTCCTGAGGCGAGAGCTTTTTTGCCCCCTACCCCCTCCTTTCCAACACTAATCACATCCAGATGATTCACTGGTAGATTGCGATAAAGCAAAAACTTTTGTACAGACTTATATAAACTTCAAAAGAACGGGGGGGGGGGGGTTGATAGCCGAATGGTTAGCACGTGCGCGCTGTATCATAAGGTCTGTTATTGAGTCAACTGGTGTGGTGTCGAATCCCCGGTTGTACGTCTGTCCAACCTCGTGGGTTTTCTCCGGGGCCTCCGGTTTTTTCCCACTGCTAAAGACCCCTACGTGCAAGCAAATTATTGAAATAAAATTGTACCATGTGTTAGTCCCGAAATGACCTTGTTTGTGTCGAGTGGACGTTAAACATATATATATTGTATATATAATAATACTTACTTTATTTGATGCATTTTAACGTCCAAATAAATCCGACTCCCCCGTCTGATACGGCAAGATGGGAAACCGGGCGGATTCAGAGGGGGTTTGCCCCTCGCCCCCCTCCCCCTATACACATCAGATGGTGGGATGGGCTGGACATTCAAAGCAGGGGCGTGCTGGCCCAGAAGGGACCCGGGAGGACGGTCCCCGAAGGGGCCCGTCGCCGACGGCGCGCCGCTGGTAGGGGGGTCTTGGGGGGGTTCTCTCCCCCCAAAATTTTTTGAAATTTGACAACGGGAAACGCGTTTTGCAAGCACTTCTGGGAGAAATCTAGGTATCATATTTTCCAAATTTATGCTGCTATTTTGACTATAAGACATACTACTGTACTACACAAGACACTCATGACAGGTCTGCTAAATATAATGCTAATACAATGTATTTCTATCCAAATAATAAATTGCATCTTATACATATCGAGGCATGAATACATGTATCAAAGACCATTTCACCTTAAGGTGACTTGCACGTCAGCATAATATATTTTACTAATCGTTGTATATGTATGATTTTTCGCGTGCGCACTCTCAATTTTTTGAGGGGATTCCGCGTGAAAATTAGAGCTCTCATGGGGGCCCGCTTATACGAGTGGACTTATTGTTTAATGGGGGCCTGGGAGGACACCGTCCTCCTAAACTCTCTGCCAGCACGCCCCTGGTTCAAAGCGCGAGATAGTTAATGATACAGACATATTATGTGATATCACATTTAATGCTTTGCATCAATGAAATTGAATCACAATGTGATCCTATATAATTCATAATAAAAATAGACGTCAAACGGGGTGTTGTACAGTGTGTATGTATGCCTGCGTAATTTAGAGACGATGATGGCATCATGCATTGTCAACTGTCGAATTTCCTTCACAGGAACCTTAGCAAACCCCCTTCTGCAAAAAATCCTGGTTCCGCCTTGGAGAAGAGGTTGACGTAATAAAAAAAGTTAACCAGAATGTCCCTATTTATGAGATGTCTCTTTAAATTCATCTAAGCACGTGGTGTGCGAAACTGTGGCACTGGAGTGGCAGTTCCAGAAGGAGGAGGACGTGGGTCAGGTATTTTCTATCTACGCATCTAGTTACGCAGGTGTCTGACAAGAACGTTATATTCTTTTATCATAATCTGTTGTAGCCAACCACAGCCCGACACAGGCGACAGCGATTTGATGATCTGGCCCCAGTGACGGCGTTCATAAAATTATCTATTACCGGTACTACAGTCCATGTGGTTGAATATTACTGCAATGGCAACTAATGCAAAACATTTATTCTTCGATACTGTTCCTCCTGTAATGTTGGCCTACCTGTTTTTCTAGGCACGCATGTTGCGCCACTACACTACACTAAACCAAACAGTCTTAAACAAAATATTGCCATATAATTGCTGGGGGCTAGATCTAATTTTTAAGGGGAGCTCAAGATTTCATCAAGGTCCTGGACATGTAAAATAAGGATAGGGCACCGTATTGTTGGCGAGATTGTGGGTTAGGATAGGCTAAGCGTTAGGGCTTGGTCCAGGGGCAGGGTTAGGGTTGGGATAGCGCTAGCCCTGGTTACATATCGTGACCTTTGACCAAACTTGAAGTTTGATAAATGGGGTGTTTAAGCCCACTTGACACAAACTAGGTCATTTCGGGACTAACATGGTTCAGTTTTATTTCAATAATTCACTTGCGGGTAGGGGTCTTTAGCAGTGAGAGGAAACCGGAGGACCCAGAGAAAACTCACGAGGTTGGACAGGCCGACCCAATTCCTTGTCACATACAACCGGGGGATAGAAACAATGCCAGTTAATTGACTCAATGACAGCTAGACCTTATGATTGAACGCGCATGCTGTAACTATTCGGCTATCCAACCCCCCTTCTTTAAGGAACTGGGGGTTGTCAATATTTACATGTACCAAGGACTAATGGGTTAATGACCTTCATGATCTTTTTTTTTTCTTTGGTAGGTTTGTGTAGTAAGACAAGATGTCTATTTATCATGTACCTGATCCAGAAGAACTAATAGAATGTCCCTACGACAAGGTTCATATGATCCGAGCCAAGAGATATCAATATCATTTAATGAAATGTAGACAGGTATTTATATTATTATTCTTTGACTCACAGGATACCCAGCTTCATCCGGGGCCCAAATATGATGGCCTAGAGCATTCATGGGGTCATGCATCTTCAATAGAAGGCTTGATCTCGCTTTAACTACGTACATCTTATCAAGGCCTTCACGTAATACCCTGCATATTATGAGCCTATCAGATTACTCGATCATCGCGAATACCAAGTGTCTACCTGTGATATATCAGTTGCAAAGTTCAAGGTTCATTCAATGTCAAGGTTTCCGTGGAGGTCGCAATGTCACAACCTCTGATTGGACCTACTGCTCACGTGTCTGTAGATAACATAGCTATAAGTTCGGGAATTGTGAAGTAAACAAGCAACATCCAGATGTTGTAAAACTCGCAGTCGTTGATTCAGGAATGGGAGCGGTCATGCTGGTTAATTTGATACCATATATGTGGGGGTGGAGTGTGGCAACGAAACGTGATTTGCCCAGGACCCAAAATTTGTATCCTGAAAGATTCACGGGGTTATGCTAGTTTTTTTGATACCAAATATGTGGGGGTAGAGGGTGGCGATGAAGCACGATTCGCCCATGGCCTTAAACGTTTGCGGGGTCATGCCGGTTAATTTGATACCACATATGCCGGGAGTGGATCACAGAGACTAAGCATAGATTAATTAAATTTCAATTTATCATATCTTTATTTGCAAATACTGAATGGAATTTAATCACTTTTGGACTTACATTCCTATTAGCGACTAAACTTTCACAATATTGTTGTTTACAAGGGATTCCTATAGCGCTAAATGACACATTTAACCCTGACACACCTATTTTTATCAACTAGAAGCTGGTTTTTAATGGGGGATCACGGTGGCTAAGTGGGTAAGACGCTGGCTCGCTAGCCTGGAGGTTGGGTGTTCAATCCCAGCATTGGCCGAGAAAGTTCATCCAGATTTTCCGGCGTGGTTCCCCTTTGTCAGTGATGCAGGACGGAGCGCCTGACAAGGACAGCTGTCTAGTCATTCGGATGGGACAGAAAACTGAGGTCCCATGTACACATTGACGTGCACGTAAAAGATCCATTGACAGTTGGAATTCGATATAAGAGTAGGCCGTAGTGCCGCTGTCCGGGCAAAATTGCCCTCATAGCACACTGTGTGGCGTATGCCCGTCTTCATTAGCCCAGTCATAGCAGAACAGTAGGGCGTTAAACCCCATTTCATTTCATTTCATTTCTGGTCTTTAATGATAGAGTATGTAAAATTAATGTAATGTTAGAATCATGCGGGTCAGGATTATGCTATCTGTCCTTTCAGAGTATTTAGAATTAATATAAGGTTTTGTTTAATTTTAGAATCATGCTGGCCAGGACTATGCTATCTGTCCATTTAATGCTAAACATGAGATGCCAAAACCTGAACTGCGATATCACATGTCCAACTGTCCATTCCGTGTAGCTGTTGAAAGAGAAATAGAATATGGTAAGGATCATACAATTTGTCATACCCTAACATGCGCATGAAATCATTGAGTCTTGTCATTGAGTCAAGTGACGTGGTTTTCATTTTCCACATCGATGGCTTGGAACGCACCTGTACTATGTCCATTTTTTAAGGTTTGAGAAAAAAACGTATTTTAAGATTTCAATAAGCTATAAAAAAGTAAGTTATCAGTGGATGTATATGGTTTCAGGAAAGATTATTGCTTGAATCAATTCAAATAGGCTGATAGAGACGCACTTCAACTTAAGCACAGCATACAGCTGATTTTTGGATAAATGTGATCCACAATGACTTATGTCCGTACTTTTTTGTCAGAATAATTGCACAAAAGACTTATGTCCGGACATGGACTATGTGTGTTCTAAAGAAATATGTGGGTAGTGCACAACAAATGACTTATGTCCGTACTTTTTTGTTCAAATTGATGTACAAATGACTTATGTCCGCACTTTTTTGCCAGAATAAATGCACAAAAGACTTATGTCCGGACATGGACTATGTTTGCTCTAAAGAAATATGTGGGTAGTACATAACACTTATGGTTATTTTGCCTTTTCGACAGCTTTAAATTGTCAGGGGACTTGTATCTTTTTACACAACAAGCGCCCTGGAATAAGGATTTTTAATATCTAAAAATCTTATTTTCACCAAAAATGGACATAGTACAGTTGTGCTCTAAGCCATCGACATGTACATGACAAGGAGTAGAGTCTTCTGTCCAACCTCCTGGGTTTTCTCCTTACAACCCCAATGTTAGCCCCAAAATGATTTAGATTGTGTTGAGTGGACATTAAAGGACAATATTGGCGCCAGTCATTATCACATATGTGATAGAGCTGGTTAAACACATTCCAAATATAATTTTAACACAGAGATCATTGCTACGATAGCTGAGTAATACAGGTTTCCTGAATCGGAAGTGACGAACGCCAAAGGAAAACACGAGTCATCTCTCTATATAACTGACTGATGTGACGAGTGATAACAGATACAGGGCCGAATTTCTGCTCACTAATAATTCCTTCGAAGACCAAAAGTTGTTATATGGGACTGTAAGAGGATACCTGACAATTCAATAGAGTAATTGAATGTCATTAGATAAGAGAACACGAGAAAAATATAAATAGTCTGTACATTCCCTTGTTTATATTCATTCTATACCTTATAAAAACATGGTAATGTACGGACTTTTTCTGTTTTTCTTTCGTGTTCACTTATCTAGTGGCAGTCAATTCTTTTTATGAATTGTCAGATATCGTCTCACAATCTCACACAACAACTTTTGGTTATCGAAGAGATTATTAGTGAGCAGAAATTCGCCCTGTATCTGTTATCACTCGTCACATCAGTCAGTTATATAGAGAGAGGACTCGTGTTTTCCTTTGGCGTTGGTCACTTCCGATTCAGGAAACCTGTATTACTCAGCTATCGTAGCAATGATCTTTGTGTTAAAATTATATTTGGAATGTGTTTAACCAGTTCTTTCACATATGTGATAATGACTGGCACCAATATTGTCCTTTAAACCTCATCTCTCTCTCTCTCCTATAGCCTAACAGTTGTTGTAGTTTTAGTCGGTCAGTCTTGTAAATCATCCATGATGAGAACACATGACACGGTTTTCCCAGCTGCAAGTGTTTTTCCAAACTACACGGTTTTCCAAGTTGAGTGGTTTTCCATGCTGGACGTGTTTATCCAAGCTAAATGTGTTTTTCCAACCTGGGGATGTATATTTTTTATTAAGAGCTGGAAATGTTTTTTCCATTTTGGACTTTTTATTTAGAGCTGGAAATGTTTTTTCCAAGCAGGAATTTATTTTTTCTAACCTGGACTTGTTTTCAAAGCAGGTCGTGTTTATCCAAACTGGATGTGGTTTTTTTTCCAACCAAGGGGGTGTATGTCCCAGCTGGACGTGTTATTCTGAGCTGGACATGTTTATCCATGCTGGGATGGGGGGTTGGGTGGCTGAATGGTTAGCGTGCGCGCGCTGTATCATAAAGTCTGTCATTGAGTCAACTGGTGTGGTTTCGAATCCCCGGTTGTACGTGGCAGGGAGTAGGGTTGCCTGTCCAACCTCGTGGGTTTTCTCCGGGTCCTCCGGTTTCCTCCCACTGCTAAAGACCTCTATGCGCAAGCGAATTATTGAAATAAAATTAAACCAAATGTTAGTCCCGAAATGACCTAGTTTGTGTCGAGTGGACGTTAAACCCCATTTCTCTCTCTCTCTACCCATGCTGGGAGTGTTTGCCATCTAGACATGATTTTCCAAGCTGGATTTGCTTTTGCAAGCTTTCGTGTTTCTCCAAGCTGGAGAAAAGAAACTAATTAAAAACTCCTAGTCTAATAACTAATTAATCAATGAATTATTGATTCTATTTTGTTTATATAAACTTCTATGATTGATTGATTGTTATTGATTATGCATATTTTAGATGAAAATCGTCGTAATGGAGAGAAGATGGATTTAAAAGGATGTACTGATGTGCCACCATATAATGCTGCTTGTACCATACTTGATGAAAACTGGGATGCTGGTAATATCTGGCCCCGAGATCACAAAGCCTTCTCAGACTTCAGTTAAGAATTTACTCAAAATTGTTCAAATTATGTCAACTAAAATATAGCCCTTTATAAAAGTGATGTTGTTTTAATGTATCAAATACATCAATAAGAAACTGTGTGTTTCTGGATCAAAGATATTTCCCTTAATAAAAACTTGAGTTGTTTTAATGTATCAAAAACATCTGTGTGTTTCTGGATCAAAGATATTTCTCATAAACGGTGATTTAAAGTTGAGTAAATTCTTAAGTCTGGGAATGCTTTGTGAACTCCGGGCCAGATTTGATTTGATCCGGTTTATCTTTTATTCATTACTAGCAGATAACCTGGCGTGGTCCGGGTTGTGCCCGTAGCTTAGAAACCGAAAGCAGTAGGCCAACACCACCTACACTTTGTTACAGCTCTAGCGTAGCCACAAACCCAGACAAACGACAGTCACAAATATTACTATAGATTGTGGGGTGGTGGTGGTGGAGGTGAGCTCTTTAGATCAGAAGGTCAAGTGACATAGTTTCAATTCCCAGCTGGTACGCGACAAGGAATGGGGTCTTATGCCCAACCTCATGTTTTTCTCTGTCCCAAAATGACCTAGTTTGTGTTGCGTGGTCGTTAAACCCCAATTCTATCCCCTCTCCCTCATTTTATTTCATTCCTATAATTGTAGAGATTCCAATCCATGCCAGAATGGGAGTGGATCCAAGTTTTTTTGAGAATCTACAGTACAGAAATACTTCTGGGTAGGTAGTTAGAATAATTTTAGAATTTGTAGTACAAAAATACTTCTGGGTAGGTAGTTAGTTTCATTTTAGAATTTGTAGTACAGAAATATTTCTGGGTAGGTAGTTAGTTTCATTTTAGAATTTGTAGTACAGAAATATTTCTGGGTAGGTAGTTACTGTAATTTTAGAATTTGTAGTACAGAAATACTTCTAGGTGGTTAGTTACTGTAATTTTAGAATTTAAATATGCAATCAGCAATGTAATTGTGGTGTCTTGATATTACCATTCTGATTCTATTTTTTGGGGAATATGAACCAGACAAAGATATAGCTATCTTATCATCCGGGGGTTATGGACCTGATTACAGTCCAACCCTTCGACGAGGGGGTGTAAGATTGAACATACAATAATTCCACAACTCACTACTTCTTGGTATAATCTTATATTCTGTAACAATACTTAAACATGGCGGTGTTAAATACAAGCCTGGAAATAAGGCACCTATCACAGACAATGTCAGGCTCAGATTTGTCAGACACTAAACCTGGTGCCTGTAATTTTGTCCGGTACTGATTTGTCTTTTTTATTGATATTATCAACACATCTCAGGCACTAAATTGAAAATATCAGGTACTATTTCATTAGTGCCTGACACTTTGTCAGGTACAACTAAAACCATTATTTCCATACCTGGTTAAGTACTACCTGGTCATAATACCAAAACGGGTGCAGGCTTTTTTGTAACTTGGCTGTTTCGTACCTAGTTCATTCATACCTTAAATTATCATCAATAATCCCTAACTGACTCATCAGAATCGGTTCAATAATCAACACCAGATTAAAGATACATTATGGGAGATTAGATAAAGAGCTGGTAGTTCTCACTATAACAGTTAAAAATTAGATAATGTAAAGCGAATTTGCTGAAAATTTATCAGATTGATCCACCCTGAACCGAGTATTTAGCGATTGAATTTTGGGCGTAGCCTCGTTCATCATTGCTAAAGTCAGTAGGATAAAAAGAACATAGTCTTGACTATCCATTTTTATACGCCCACATTTTCATGTGGACGTATTATGCCGTCGCCCCTGTCCGTCCGTCCGTCTGTTTGTGGACACTCTACAGGTCACAATTCTTATCCGATTTTGACGAAACTTGAAATATAGGTTTATCTCCAAAATATCTCGGCTGCTTTCAATATTGGCATGTATCGTATCGAAACTTCATGGATTATGGCCCCTGTTTGTACGAAAAATCACGTTTTTAGCTTGTGGACACTATAGAGGTCACAATTTTTATCCGATTTTGTTGAAACTTGAAATGTAAGTTGATAACCCAAAGATCTCGGTTCCTTTCGATATTCGCACATATCGGACCGTAACTTCCTGAATTATGGCCCCTGATTGTACGAAAAATCGCTTTCTTTTTAGCTTGTTCTCTATCCATCTCTCGAAAATGTGGGCGTATCCTGCCTGGCAGCCGCTGGTTTGATTTAATCAGAATCAGCAGACCGGGTTCCAATCCAGTAAATATCGCGGGCTAGCGAAGCCATCGAGAGTTGATTATGGTCTGGATAAGTTAATTAATGTCTAATTAATAATTTAGATAACATTTCAGGCCAAAAGAAAGACCTGAAATTTGCAGATTTAGCTCTTGCATAGTGTATGTTTAATTATGAACAAAACTGTAACTTACCTTATTTTCCATGAATTATTGACTGGTATGATGAACTGGCGACCTGAACGGGACTTTTTCAAGACTCATTACTAAAGTCAGCGACTTGGGACTCGACACGGACTCAAGGGGCCGCGACTTGTTGCCACCTCTGGAATTTGTCACCTAAAGAGTTAAGTGGAATTTGTCAACTAATGTTCAAAAAGAGTTCAGCGGAATATACTGCACAAATCTATCTTTACAGTATGCAGAGATCAGAGAGAAAGGAATTTTACCAGAAGCTTCGAGACAAGGAACTAGGAATGTAAGTTGATATTGTTGGCTTTGTGGCCATATGTTGTAACCATTATTCGCGCCCCCCTCTCTCTCTCTCTCTCTCAAATAAGGAACTAGGAATGTAAGTTGATATCGTCTTCCTGGCCATATGTTGTAACACTTGTACCCTTATTTGAGTGAGGGGGGTTTGGGTGGCCGAATCGTTAAGAATCAGAAGGTCTGTCATTGAGTCGAGTGGTGCGGTTTCGATTCCCCGCTTGGGCATGGCAAGAAGTAGGGTCGTCTGTCCATCCAGGTGGGTTTTCTCTGGTCCTCCCTATTCTCTCCCACTGCTAAAGAACCCTAATCACAAGCCAATTGAAATCAAATTGGATCATATGTTAGTCCCAAAATGACCTAGTTTGTGTCGAGTGGACATTAAAACCCATCTCTTTGCAGGTCTTATTTGAGAGTGGCTTATTGGGTAAGGCACAGGCTCTCCCTTTGCTCTGGAGTTCGATCATGGTGTTGGTCGAGAAAGTTCCATGGGATTTTCCAGAGTGGTTTGGCCTTGTTAGTGGTGTAGAATAGAGGACCTGACAAGTAACTGTGTCTAGTTGTTTGGATGGGACAAAAAAAAAACTGAGATCCCACATGCATGTTCTGTAGACAAACCTTTGACAGTTGGAATTGTCCATGCAAAATTTCCCTCATAGCACACTGTATGGCGTATACCTGTCTTCATTAGCCCAGTTTAGGAGCAGAACAGTAGGACGTTAAACCCCATTTCACTTCATAAACCCTCTTTAATGTTCTGTTTATAGATAGGGCACCTGATGGTTGATGGGGATCAAAAGGTTCTCTGAATTATCATTGATGGAAGTCTGTAAAAAAGCACAAATTCCGACACAATCCTGTAATCCTTTGTCATATTTTCTGGCCTAGATTTGTCTTCTTTAAAAGTTTTTGTTAAATTATATTTTTAATACATGTTGTGTGTTTTATGTATTGTGCTATTTGATGTGTGGTCAGCGCTTAAAGCATGTCATTATGTGGTGTAGTTATAGCGCAATAGAGAATTTCATATTATTTACATATCTTTATACACCCAAACGTATATTTTCGTCACCCCCGTCCGTCCGTTCATTCACATTTTTTTTGTGGACACTCTACAGGTCGTAATTTTTATCCAATTTTGACTGTTCAATTACTAAATGCCGTATAAGGAGTGTAAAAGTATGTAATACCAAGGTTGTGGACCATCTAGAGGTCACAATTTTTATCTGATTTTGATAAAACTTAAAATACATGTTTATATCTCAATCGTGGTTCCTTTCAATACTTGCGCACATCGGACTGTAATTTCCTGGATTGGGCTGACCTTAAAAATATCTTTGTTTCGCCTAACGCGACCGACTAACTAAAACCACCCCTGACTTAAATTATTTTATTGCACTTTTCCACGATCTTTTTATTTTATTTTGTGTGTCAACCTGAAATATATCACGAGAGTTATTTCCCTTTACTATGGCTATGGTTTGATTCATTATTGAAACTGGTTGATCAAGACGAAAGCGTCATAGGTGTCGCTTCTCAACAAAATGGTTGCAGACGAATACACGTCCATTCCCACGAAATGATTCTGCTTCTATGTCTGTGGTGCGTAGTTTTAAACATGACGACGATATTTTCAATATCCGTTTTCGAGAAAAATGAAGGCACAACCCGCAGTATCGTCATTCACTCATTGATTTTTTTGCCAATTGAATAAAGAAGACGAATGTTTCCACCCGGAAAATTATTAAGCTGTCAAATTAGCTCTTAAGTTTAATAAAAAAAACTTTCAGTTCGTTACTTTTTACGTCAGACCCCAAATTCATTAAACAAAATTAATGAATCTGTAGAAAACAGCTAATAAGTTTTCTGTATTGATTTCTCTAACTTTAAAAAAAAAATCTGAAAAAAAAACCGACCTACCGACCCTTCTCCTCGATTGTGGGTCGGGTTTGGTGAAACAAAGATATTTTTAAGGTCAGCCTTGTATGAAAAATCTTTTTGTTTTAGCTTGTTCTCTGTCCAGCTCTAGCAAAATGATTCCATATCTTGCATGGCAACTGTTGGTTTTGGGGTTTTTTTTCACTTGTTCTCTGTCCATCTCTTGCAAAATGTGGGCATATCTTGCATGACAACAGCTTGTTCATGTTTTCAGTGAAACACCAAGCGTAACCAATGCAAAGACAAGTCAGCTTCGTATTCCCAATCAGAAATCCAAGGCAGCTTTAATGCACCAGAATACAACTAAACATCATTCATTTGATGTATTTGCATATTCTTTATCTATGGCTGGTATCGGAAGAGGCAAATCTCGTAAGTATAGACAACGTCTACACTAGCTTGGGTTTAATCTCCATTTCATTGTATGTATAGACAACGTCTACACTAGCTTGGGTTAATCTCTGTTTCATCGTAAGTATAGACAACGTCTACACTAGCTTGGGTTAATCTCTGTTTCATCGTAAGTATAGACAACGTCTACACTAGCTTGGGTTAATCTCTGTTTCATTGTAAGTATAGACAACTTCTACTACTAGCTTGGGTTTAATCTACATTTCATCGTAAGTATAGACAACTTTTACTACTAGCTTGGGTTAATCTCTGTTTCATTGTAAGTATAGACAACTTCTACTACTAGCTTGGGTTTAATCTACATTTCATCGTAAGTATAGACAACTTTTACTACTAGCTTGGGTTAATCTCTGTTTCATTGTAAGTATAGACAACTTCTACTACTAGCTTGGGTTAATCTCCATTTCATTGTATATATAGACAACGTCTACACTAGCTTGGGTTAATCTGTTTCATTGTATGTATAGACAACTTTTACTACTAGCTTGGGTTAATCTCTGTTTCATTGTAAGTATAGACAACTTCTACTACTAGCTTGGGTTAATCTCTGTTTCATTGTAAGTATAGACAACTTCTACTATTAGCTTGGGTTAATCTCTGTTTCATTGTAAGTATAGACAACTTCTACTACTAGCTTGGGTTTAATCTCCATTTCATTAAAGGTGGTAAATGTTAGGATTTTTAAAGGCTCAATACCACTCTTGTTGTAACTGAATAATATGTCCCAATCTTTATTCTGGTCAACAAATTGCACTATTTTACAATATTCCAATGAATTGATGATACAAATTTCGTCTTAACACACCTAATTTAAAAAATTGAACTAAATGATTTGAAAAGCCTGACGTAAAGCTTTTCAAATGTGACTTGGATTTAAAAATATTTTTGAACCCTCTGGACAAGTAAAATAGGATTTAAGAGATAATTTACACAACAGGTAAGACACTAACACATCTAGTACTTAGAATAAGGCTATTTTTTATTTTCTGGAGCTGTCAAGCCAGCAAGATTGTTATTGTCCCTTTAACACATGACACAATTATGTGAAATACAAGTTACTTACAAGTTTCAGAGCCACGGTGGCTAAGTAACTAAGACGCTGTCTCGCTAGCCTGGAGGTTGGGGGTTTTATGCTGGTGATGGCCGAGAAAGTTGATCAGGATTTTCCAGCGTGGTTTCCCCTTGTCAGTGGTGCAGAACGTATGCCCGTCTTTATTAGCCCAGTTTGGAGCAGAACAGTAGGACATTAAACCCCATTTCCTTTCATTTTATTTTTGTATATACAAAACATGAAAAAATTAAGAAATGATGGATAATAAATTAGGATTTTTTTTTTTCATCAAAAAGGTCATATACAAATTTAATTCAAAAATTTAGGTTGTGAATAAACCTCTACCAAGAGCTTAAAATAGTGGATAATTTGTTTAGTTGAAAGATGATTGTTGCTATTGTTTTAAATCTACTGTTCTAGTTTTACGGTGTAAAAATGAGGAAGTGGCTCCACCTGTTCCCAGGAGACCTGGTGATTTGGTTGATGAGTTAGTCAGACGACTGACCGGTCAGTAAACAAAGGTTTATATGACAAGCACATGTAACATGGTGCACATGAACAGCACATCCAGGGCCCTGTTTCTCGAACTCTTAACTAAAGATAAAATCCAATTTTAGTAGATACTTTGATTGGCTAAGCACTAAAATCAATCTAATATTATCCAATCAAATTACTAAAATTTGGATTTTATCTCAGTTAAAATTTCATAAAACAGGCCCCTGGTTTATATGACGAGCACATTATGTGACACAGTGCACATAAACAGCACATCTAGGTTTATATGACAAGCACATCATACATTGTGACACAGCACATATCAACAGCACATCCAGGTGTATATGACAAGCACACTATGATTGTTACAGTGCACATGAACAGCACATCTAGGTGTATATGACAAGCACACTATGATTGTTACAGTGCACATGAACAGCACATCCAGGTTTATATAACAAGCACATTGTGTGACACAGTGCACATGAACAACACTTATAGGTTTCTATGACAAGCACATTATGTATGTGACACAGTGCACCATATATACCCTGCACCCAACATCAAAAATGCATCAACAGCGCATCCACGTTTTTTGATACGCACATTATGTGACACAGTGCACCAGATATGCCCTATACCCAACACAAGTATCAGCCTATCCAGATTTATATGATAAGCACACTATGTGTCACGATGCAACAGATATTCCAACACACAACACAAAGAGCACATCCAGCATTTGACAAAAGTCTAGCTCAACATCTAACATCTAATCTAGCATTTGAGAAAATTCTAGCTCAACATTTAACATAAAACTAGCATTTGACAACATCTAGCTCCTAATATCTCGGCTAGCATTATGAAATTAAGAAATGATAACGGATATAGATACTTTATTTCTCAAAATGAAACTTTTGATTCTGTTTGGATTTTTCCAAGCAGTTTTGAAAGTAAAGTCACTGTCGTTATTATTGATATTTTAAAATCATTATTATGATTTACTGTGGACCTCTAGGATGGTGTAGTGAGCCATTTTAGTCACAAGAGTAGGGGGGGGGGGTTGGATGGCTGAATGGTTAGCGTGCGCACGCTGTATCATAAAGTCTGTCATTGAGTCGACTTGCATGGTTTCGAATCCCCGGTTGAACGTGACAAGGAGTAGGGTCGCGTGTCCAACCTCGTGGGTTTTCTTCGGGTCCTCCGGTTTCCTCCCACTGCTAAAGACCCCTATGCGCAAGCGAATTATTGAAATAAAATTAAACCATATGTTAGTCGCGAAATGACCTAGTTTGTGTCGAGTGGACGTTAAACCTCATTTCTCTCTCTCTCTCCCAAGAATATGGTATTTGATTTCAGGGAAAGAAATCATTGTCTTGCTTTAAAGGACAATATTGGTGTCAATCATTATTACATATGTGATAGAACTGGTTAAATACATTCCAAATGTTTTTCAACACAGAGATCATTGCTATGGTAGATGTGTAACAAGCACGTGAAGAAATGGGAAGTGACGACAAACATGAATTATCCATCTTTATAACTGAATGAAGTAACGAGCGATAACCGAAAAACGATCGTCGACTTTCATTTCACTGATAATTCCGTTGAATTAAAAAGTTATTATATGGGACGGTGAGAGGGTATCTCACAATTCAAAAATAGAATTGGCTGTCACTAGATAAGGGAAAACGAGAAAAATAGAAAAATCCTGTGAATTCCTCGTTTTTATTCATTCTATTCTTAATAAAAACATGGTAATGCACGGACTTTTTCTAATTTGTTCGTTATCTTTTTCTACTGACAGCCAATTCTTTTTTTGAATTGTCAGATATCCTCTCACCGTCTCATATAACTTTTCATCTTCAACTGAATTATCAGTCAAATGAAATTCGATCGCGTGTCTGTTATCGCTGGTTATTTCAGTTAGTTATATAGAAGGATAACTCGTGTTTGTCATGTTTGTCGTCACTTCCTGTTTCTTCACGTGCTTGTTACATGTCTCCCGTAGCAATGATCTCTGTGTTAAAATTATATTTGGGATGTATTTAACCAGTTCTATCACATATTTTATAATGACTGACACCAATATTGTCCTCTAACATGAGACATTTTCTCTTCGCAAAAAGTTTGTGTTTAAAGGAGGCAAGTTTCAAACTCGATATCATCCACAGTTTTCAATATTGCAAACAGGACTTACTGATCGATTTAAATCAACATTGATGTTGTTATCTTACCGTGAAAAGATGGGTTTCTGATATCCAATATTTTGTGTGTGTGTTAGTTGTTTTTATACACCCACATTTTCATGTGGACGTATATTGTCGTCGCCCCTGTCCGTTCTCTATCCATCTCTCGAAAATGTGGGCGTATCCTGCCTGGCAGCCGCTGGTTACGTCTGCTTCCACCGAGGTGATATCGCAGACAATAACATGTTATGTATACAAGGTGCAATAATTTACAATATTTAAGACAGGGGCCATTTATAATGAAGCAACTCAAGGAACAATGCTAAACATGTCCCACAGGAGAATACTACCGGTGTAGACTGGAATAAACAGACACCAAAGACTGCCATTCAATTTGGACTGATTAGAAATTACAGTAAACACAGAAACGGTTGAATGGAAATCAGTTCATATACATTCATATTACATTATTATATGCGTTGTGACCCATTTGTGGCCCAAGAATAGAGATTTAGCTCAGATATAATTTATTAGTTTCTATGTTTTAGTTTTGAGTGATCAAACAACTGGAGCCAGCAGTCGACCAGGAAGACAATCTACTACAACATCACCTACCAACAATGTTATGGGTGCGATCTTTTTACATCAATTTCGAGTTGCGTAAAAATATGCAGACATTCAAAAATTTTGCGTTTTTGCTCTCTATATCGGCGTTTATCTAATTTTGCTCACGTCGGCTGCATTTTCTGTGTGTAAATTACGCAGCATCCGTCAATATTTGCGTTTATTTTGAAAAAAATGCGTGAAAAACGCTGATTTTTGCGCGACTGCGACCTCTGGTCCCATGTATACATTGGAGTGCACGTAAAAGATCCCTAGACAGTTGAAATTAGATATAAGAGTAGGCTGTAGTGCCACTGTCTGGGCATAATTTCCCTCATAGCACACTGTATGGCGTATGCCCATCTTCAGTAGCCCAGTTCAGAGCAGAACAGTAGGACGTTATACCCCAATTCATTTCATTTCATTTGTTACATTCAGTAAATTTGTGTGATTGTACAGCACTAATCTTAAACGGCTGTTTTTTGTTGGGCTTCAACCACTTGACGTTCAATCAAGCCGATTGGTAAAACAATGAACCGGACACTATGGTATCATAAATCAATCTACATTCAGCTAAATTACAAGTTAATTATAACTTGTTGATTAAAAAGTCAATCAACTTGCTTGTTGGTTACAATAACTGTCATACTTCAGGGACCGGGACAATCAGCCATATGGTTCATAATCCGAGTAATTAGCACATTTAACGGTAATTTTGATAATCTGAGTAATTAGCACATTTAACGGTAATTTTGATAATCCGATAAAAAAAACAAACAAGCTTGCTGATTATTGATAACAGGTCCAGTAGGTTGACTTTGTAAAAATAAGCCATGTGGCGAATGTAAAGACGATCTTGGCATAGATTGTGAATCTCGGGAATCGCGTGTCTTTGACACTCCTATGAAATTATTCCAGGTAGGTATTAAAATAATAATTGGATCATACATTTGAAGGTTTCACTGACAAGTTGTTAGTTAAGCATTAAATCTTCATTGAATATAAATCTTCATTGAATATAATCCCTTATGGAACACCGAATACACAGAGAAACAGTCTCTAATAATATATTTTTCTGACACATGGGGGGGCCGAATGGTTAGCATGTGCGTGCTGTATCATAAGGTCTGATATTGAGTCAACTGCCGTGATTTTGATTCCCCGGTTATACGTGACAAGGAGTAGGGTCACCTGTGGCATTTTCTGATACTGGCCGTAGTAGAAAAATCCTAATTTCAATCAACTGATGAACTATATCCGTTTGTCTATTGAATAAACAAAGGCGGTAATGTTACTATTACTAACGTGAACTTCAAGCTGGTACATGAATTGAATATGGAAAATGTTTAAAAAGGTGTACCTTTGACACTCTCCATAACAGATTACAAAGAATTAATTTTGTTGAGAATCAAAGTTTATAATTACCCTATTTTGTACTGGGGGGTTGGATGGCCGAATGGTTAGCGCATGCGAATTGTATCATAAGGTTCAGCTGGCGTGGTTTTGATTCCCCGGTTTTACGTGACAAAGAGTAGGGTCGCCTGTCCAGGCTCCTGTGTTTTCTCCGGGTCCTCGCCTTTCCTCCCACTGCTAAAGACCCCAATGTGCAAGTGAATTCTTGAAATATAATTAACCATATGTTAGTCCAGAAATGACCTAGTTTGTATCAAGTAGACATAAAACCAAATTTCTCTCTCTCTCTCCCTACCGGAACCTCATTAATTTGAGCCAGTTCCCAATTCTGGCCTGTTCGTTTCAGAATAGATTAGGAACCCTGGTACATAGTATAGTGTTACTTGTATTTCTGGACAGAAGTTTCGGTTGTGGAGAGTCTTTTCAGCCAGTTTTTTTATATATTTTCAGAAATGTATTCGAGTGGAGCAGCTACTCAGTAAGGAGATGTAAGTGTAACCAATAAACTATTAAAGTCACTGAATTTAAAAAAAACAACTAAAAAAAAACTGTCATTGAACACAAAGTTTTTTTTAAAAAAAAAAGAACCGTTACTGAGCTCAGTTTAAAAAAAAAGTTTTGTCAATTTTTAAAAAAATGAACTGTCACCAAACTCAAAAAAAATGAACTGTCACCAAGCTGAATTTAAAAATAAATGAACTGTCACCGAGCTCAATTTTTATAAAAATTAACTTGCATCTAGCTCAATTTAAAAAAAAATGAACTTCATTGAGCTAAATTTAAAAAAGAAACATAACTGTCACCAAACTGAAATTGATATTGATTTTCTATCCTATTGAAAGGATGAACCCTATGGATAAGAACTCTTCCTTAGTTATTTTCTTGGTTATTGATTCGCACTAGCACCATTAAGGGTTGGTTAGCTTAGAGGACTATAGCTACTGGTGGGCATATGTTTTGTTGCCTAGCAACCTATGTTCATTTGTGTCTGCCAATTTGATTAACGCTTTTAGCAATTAGATGGCTCGAAACCACCCTAACTAGAGCTCTTTGAGCCCCAAACTGCCCTATCACGCGCATAGCTGTGGCACACACAAAATGATCCTACAGAAAGCCACAGTCAGAATATATAACTGCATTATATCAGACATATGGCACACATTTATTGTCCCCCGCCTTTCGAAGAAAGCAGGGGACTATTAAAATGGGTTCGTCCGTCTGTCCGTCCGTCTGTCTGTCCGTCTGTCCGTTCGTCTGTCTGTCCGTCACACTTTTTGGGACACAATAACTCTCTTCCTAATTGAGCTAGAATGTTCAAACTTGGTGTATGTGTTTATTAGGTCAATGCCTTGATGGAGTTCGAAGATGAGCATTTTCCGCTTAGGGTAAGCAGAGATAAGCAATTTGATTGGTTGATGCTTTGGGACACGATAACTCTCTTCCTAATTGGGCTAGAATGTTCAAACTTGGTGTATGTGTTGATTAGGTCAATGCCTTGATGGAGTTCAAAGATGAGCATTTTCCGCTTAGGGTAAGCAGAGATAAGCAATTTGATTGGTTGATGCTTTGGGACACGATAACTTTTAATTGAGCTAGAATGTTCAAACTTGGTGTATGTGTTTATTAGGTCAATGCCTTGATGGAGTTCGAAGATGAGCATTTTCCGCTTAGGGTAAGCAGAGATAAGCAATTTGATTGGTTGATACTTTGGGGCACGATAACTCTCTTCCTAATTGAGCTAGAATGTTCAAACTTGGTGTATGTGTTGATTAGGTCAATGCCTTGATGGAGTTCGAAGATGAGCATTTTCCGCTTAGGGTAAGCAGAGATAAGCAATTTGATTGGTTGAACTGTTTGATTGTTCAATACTTTGTAAAAGATAATTTGTGATAAATTTATATGTGTCCTCTAATTATTTTCCTATTTCGGCGGGGGACATCAGCCTCACTGTTGGCTTGTTTTCCGTTTATTTTAATTTCCAAAAGGCGTGCCCCTTACACATATCCTGTCTTCATTAGCCCAGTTGGAGCTAATTTTCTTCAAGCAACCAGGGTAGTCAGTATGTGTAGGATAAAGCACGAGACTGAGGTTATGCTGGGGAAAGAAAGACTGAAGAAAATAACCTGAGAAAAAGAAAAACCGAGGCATAATCGAAATCGCCGACTTTATCTTGCTTATAAACCGTCTATGTTTACATGTACTCAAAATGAGAATATCCCAGAATTCACGTAGGAAAAACCTTAGATTTTGTTTCATGGGGGAAAAAAACCTACCCTGGAAGAATAACCTGTTACGGGTTTAAAGAAAAACTTTCAGAAGATTGACCCCAAATTCCCCTGTATATATCCAAAGCCGTCCTCGACTTTCAGACCTCAAGTTATTCTGGGCATAGAATATACCCCAAAGATCAAAGAGATTTACCATTACAGGTTTATATTAACATGTAACAAGTGCTACAGGACTAAAGCCACTGGGGTGTATATCTTATATTACCTGTAGTTAATGAGCCAAAGAGAGAAATGGGGTTTAACGTCCACTCGACACAAACTAGGTCATTTTGGGACTAACATTGTTTAATTTTTTTCATTAATTCACTTGTGTGTAGGGGTCTTCAGCAGTGGGAGGAAACCGGAGGGCCCGGAGAAAAAAGCATGAGGTTGGACAGGCGACTCTACTCCTTGTCATGTATAAGCTGGGAATCGAAAGCATCCCACTTGATTCAATGACAGACCATATGATGCAATGCGAACACATTAATTATTCCCCCCCCCCCCACCTTTAGTTAATGAGTTAGAACAATATGATTGAAATCAGATGTTTTTGCAGTTCATTTTTCATTGTATTTTTGTCCATCCTCCTCACAGGTATATATCTTTATTTATATTTTGTGTATTTTCAGATATGATTTGAAAATGCTAAGAATGCAAATTATTGGTAAGAATTTAAAACTCAGTTTATATTAGAATTGGCTATTTCTCTTACTGCTGCCCAGATAGATTCTAAAGTTTATGTTATTGAAAGGTGCTGTACTCGAGGACCTGGCATGGAAAACTGTCTAGTTGTTTGGATAGGACAAAAGGGGGTCATGTGTTTACCATTGACTGCATGTTAAAGATCCTTGATCCTTCGGATGGGACGAAAACCATAGGTTTGGTGTACACAATAGTGTGCATGTAAAATATCCCTTAGCAGTTGGAATTCGATATAAGAGTAGGCATTACGCCGCTCTCCGGGCAGAAAAGTTTTATGTTCAGCCCCATTTCTAAAAGAAATAAATTATTGAGTTGATCTTTCTATTTTTTCAGGATAAATTGATGTTTAGTTATAATAATTCAGGAAGAATTTCAAATTTTGAATTTTAAGTTATATTAGACAGGAAGATTTCCAAATTTTATTAGAATAATTCGGGAAGAATTCAAAGCTTAGTTGGAATAATTCAGAAAGAATTTAAACTTTTGTTAGAATAATTCAAGAAGAATTCAAAGTTTAGTTGGAATAATTCAAGAAGAATTCAAAGTTTAGTTGGAATAATTTAGGAAGAATTTAAACTTTTGTAAGAAGAATTTAAACTTTTAAATTTTAAGTTATGTCTGGAAGATTTCCAAATTTTGTAAGAATAATTAAAGAAGAATTCAATAATTTGTTATAATATTTCAGGAACAATTCAATATACTGTTATTATACACCCGTCCTCTTTAATTGTGAACACTTTTAATAACTACATTTAACTTCAGTTCTTTTTAAGATTAATGTATGGAGAGGGGGTCTGGTCTATAGGCTTCTGCCTGTCCTCCAATCCAGTTTCTGTGAATAAAAAATTTGTGAGACGAAGAATCCTATTAAATTTTATTGATTTTTGATAATGATTTTCAGAGTTATTGCCCTTTGTCAAATAGTCTGAATGCTCTAACGTTCACTGTTCAAATTAGTGAAACGAAGCGGACATGAATTTTAAACATCAATAATTTCTGTTAATTACTTGCCCTTGATTAATTGTAAAATCTTGTGAACACTCTAATAAGAAAAGTCATCAACCAAAATTGGTATGCCTTGTTCAAATTAGTGAAACAAAGGCACCTTTTAAAATTGTATTTTAACAATTTCAGTTAATTACTTCTAGAGTTATTTCCCTTGCTCACTTTTTAGAGACTTATGAACAGTCTAGCAATAAAACTTTATCACCATAAAGATGATTTAAACAACAAAAGCTATTATCCGAGCGACAATGACACATTTCCTATTTTCTGACCAGAAAAAATACTGTTGGGGTTTTTTGGGCAGTTAATTTCAAATTTTTATTTAAAAATAATCTTGCCCAATCATTTGGATTCTTAGCATTTGCAAATCATATCTTTCAAAACTTAAAAGGTAGGTTGCAAGGCAATAAAACATAGGCCCACATCAGCTAAATCACCCAAGGAGGCGTGTTAAATGTCTGCTACTCACTAATCTGAATAATACACAGACCACATATTTTTTGGCATTGGGGCGTTCACAGGATTCTATAATGTTTAACCTGCCAATTTTTCTTTCTGTTTATGCCATATTGTCCCCCTGTCTTTTGAGGAAAGAAGGGGATTATTAAAAATGGATTCATCTGGTCTGCCTGTCTGTGTGTGTAACACTTTTTGGAACTCGGCTTCTAATAGAGGTAGAACAATCAAACTTGGTGCAAGTGTTCATTTGATAAATACCATGATTGATTTTGATGTTGAGCATTCTCTGTTTAGGCATAGCAGAGGTAAGCAATTCGATTTGCCATTGCTTTGGGACAGTAACTTTGAGAGTGATGATACTTGGTGTATAGTTTCATTACATAAATACCATGGCCAAGTCGATAATGAGCATTTTCTGCTCAGGTTAAACAGAATGGTACATAATTTAATTGCTTAATGCTTTACAAAAAGATATGAATACAAGAAATAAATAAATTGAGGTGGGGAAGATCAGCCTCACTGTTAGCTTGTGTTTAAACTGAGCTACATTCCTTATGTTTAAACTCAACCATATTCCTTATTAAAATTGAGCTATATTCCCTATGTTTAAACTTTGATATATATTCCTTATATTCAAACTGAGTTACGTTTAAACTGTGCTATATTCTGTATGTTTAAAATGAACTATATTCCTTATGTTTACATTGAACTATATTCCTTATGTTTAAACGGGGCAATATTCCTTACGCTTAAACTGGGCAATATTCCTTACGTTTAAACTCGGCTATATTCTTTATGTTTAAACTGAACTATATTCCTTATGTTTCAACTGAGCTATATTCCTTATGTTTCAACTGGGCTATATTCCTCATGTATCAACAGGACTATATTACTTATGTTTAAACAGGGCTATATTCCTCATGTTTCAACTGGGCTATATTCCTCATGTATCAACAGGACTATATTCCTAATTTTTAAACTGAGCTATATTTCTCATGTTTCAACTGGGCTATATTCCTCATGTTTAAACTGGGCAATATTTTTTATGTTTAAACTGAGCTATATTCCTTATTCAACTATGCTATATTCCTTATTTTTAAACTGGGCTATAACCTTATGTTTAAACTGGGCTGTATTCCTTATGTTTCAACTGGGCTATATTCCTTACGTTTAAACTGGGCTATATTCATAAGTTTAAACTAGGCTATATTTCCTATGTTTAAACTGGGCTACATTCCTTGTGTTTAAACTGGGCTATATTTCTTATGTTTAAACTGGGCTATATTCTTCATGTTTAAACTGGGCTATATTCCTTACGTTTAAACTGGACTTTATTCATAAGTTTAAACTAGGCTATATTCCCTATGTTTTAAAGTTTAAACTGGGCTACATTCCTTGTGTTTAAACTGGGCTATATTCCTTGTGTTTAAACTGGGCTATATTTCTTATGTTAAAACTGAGCTATATTCTTCATGTTTAAACTGGGCTATATTCCTTACGGTTAAACTGGGCTATATTCATAAGTTTAAACTAGGCTATATTCCCTATGTTTAAAGTTTAAACTGGGCTACATTCCTTGTGTTTAAACTGGGCTATTTTCCTTATATAATGGCCATATTCTTTATAATTAGACAGAGCATTATTCCATACGTTTAAAACTGGGCTGTATTTAAACTGTACAATATTCCTTATGGTTAAACTGAGCTATATTTGTTAATTTTAAACTGTGCCGTATTCCTTATGTTTAAACCGCTATATTCCTTATATTTTAACTGAGCTATATTTCGTCTGTCTAAACTGAGCTTTAGTCCTTGTATTAACCCTTTCACTGCGTATACCCGGTAGTACCGGGTATTATAAAATGTCGGTAAAATGCCCGTACCCGGTATTACCATGTACTCAGTAAAGCCCTCGCTAAAATTAGTACCGTAACTGCAAGTGCCATCTATTGTATTTTCTATACACTAGAACATATTTCACGTGTTTCAAAGCGGCAAACCGTAAAATGGCGGAGTGCATAGTGACAACGTAGACGATGCACTCTCGACGAAGTCGTGAATGACGTCTTGCTGACCAACACGTGGACAATTTCGAGGCGGGTGATACACATAATTCGTTTCCAGTTACTTGATAATGATAGTAGTCAGGACAGTGATTGGTATTATGAAGTGTGTGATTTGTTGCGCGACGATCCGCCCATGGCTAGCTATGTCTCCCGTGCATGATAAACAAGCCCAATGTGAACACGATAGCCCTGTGTCTGCAGTAGATTCTGACAATAATTCTGATGTTGATAATAATGCTGGCCTGCTGGATCGTAAAAGACGTAGGTAATTCCTGATTCCCGAACGTGTAGATCTATTGACTGACTATATTGATAATGATATGGGACTTGGGGATGAAAGTGAAAGTGAAAGTAAAAACAAGGTATTGCAATCCGCACATGGTCATGGCAGCAGGAGACGTGATGGGCGTGTTCGCGGCGGCATTGCTCATGGTTGCTATTGATATTTTTGTTCATTTTATATATCTTTATCAAAATCCAGTGAAAAAAACAATATCTTTTAAGTATTTCATGGAGAAAAATTCGTTTTCGTGTTAGCTTTAGTGAGAAATGAGAAATCCAAAATGGCCGCCATGACGTCAGGTGACTACATTATTATGCAAATTTCCAAAATTCTATTTTTTCCTCTTAGCCCAACCTCATGCCCATCCCAACAGACAAAAAGATTCTTCATAAAAGCTTCCATAAGTACTGCTTGGCATTCAGTCCCAACCTCCCTTTTTTTCTCAAAAAAGGGTCTAGCACAGGCAGTGGATTTACGTCTAGCATTGAAAGGGTTAAAACTGAATTATATTCGTTATATTCAACTGTGCTGTATTCCTTATTTTGTTTAAACTGTGCCATATTCCTTATGTATATGATGCACAAAAGTACTTATGTTTAAGTTGTGCAGTATTTAATTGTAATGTATCCTTAAATGGTTAAATATTCCTTATGTCAATAAAAACTAAATTCTAAAAAAGAATCTTGTGGATAATTTTTCTTTCAAGCTAAATTGACTGTGGAACCAGTGTATTCACTGTGTATTCAGTCAGCAGGTGGGGCGGGGGGCGGGGGTCACTCTCAATTTCAAAAATGATATATGATGAGGGATCTGAATTAGAAAGCAAATTTCCAGATTTGAATCCTGCCATAGGCAGGGAAAAGCTTTTGGTATTTCCCAGACCGGTTCTCACTAGTAAAGTCAGGCTTCACCTGCAGGGATAGGCAGGGAAAAGCTTTTGGTATTCCACAGACCGATTCTCAATAGAAAAGTCAGGCTTCACCTGCAGGGCTGGTGACAAGGATAGTGTGTCTTGTCGTTAGGGTTGGACAAAGAAACAAGGTCTGATGACCAAACCGTGAAGGTAAAAGGTGATCAGAATGTGGACTGCTAGCCAAACTTAGTGGGGTTTTTTTCGGGGGTACTATTTAGAGTCAAGTCCTCGCTTGCACATGAGTATGGTCCCCTGTCCAACCTCTTCCTTTTCTCCGGTTCCTTCCACTGCTAAAGCGGGGGGTTAGATGGCCGAATGGTTAGCACGTGCGTGCTGTATCATACAACCTGTCATTGAGTCAACTGGCGTGGTTTCGAATCCCCGGTTGTACGTGACAAGGAGTAGGGTCGCCTGTCCAACCTCGTGGGTTTTCTCTTGGTCCTCCGGTTTCCTCCGACTGCTAAAGACCCCTACGCGCAAGCGAATTATTGAAATAAAATTAAAACATATGTTAGTCCCGAAATGACCTAGTTTGTGTCGAGTGGACGTTAATCTCCATTTCTCTCTCCACTGCTAAAGATACCTATGCGCAAGCGAACTATTAAAATAAAATTGAACCATATGTTTTTAGTTCCTTCTCCTTGTAATGTTCAAGTGGGAAACCGAAACCATGCCACAGGACTGAATGACAGACCATGGGATTTCATGCACACGTGTTAAACCACTACGATAAGATAAAGTTGGAATCGGAGAGAGAGAAATGGGGTTTAACATCCACTCGACACAAACTAGGTCATTTCGGGACTAACATATGGTTTAATTTTATTTCAATAATTCGCTTGCACGTAGGGGTCTTTAGCAGTGGGAGGAAACCGGAGGACCCAGAGAAAACCCACGAGGTTGGACAGGCGACCCTACTCCTTGTCACGTATAACCGGGGATTCGAAACCACGCCATTTGACTCAATGAAGGCTTTATGATACAGCACGCACATGCTAACCATTCGGCCATCCAACCCCCCAAAGTTGGAATCAAAGGGACTCGCTCTATCTGTCTATGAATTATTAAACAGAAAGTCATAATGGAAGGATAACTCCATCCACATAAATAATAAGATTTAGTCTGCAAGGGTCAGCACTCTACTTGCATAATTGAAACTGGTTTATTAAAAAGAAATGAATTGAAATGGGGTTTAACGTCCTACTCCGACTGGGCTAATGAAGACCCTTCATCCTGCACCACTGACAAAGGTAAACCACGCCCGGACAGCTACAGTCTAATCTTATATCGAATTCCAACTGCCAAGGGATCTTTTTCGTTCCATCTGAACGACTGGACAGCTGTCCTTGTCAGACCCTCCGTCCTGCACCACAGACAAAAGGAAACCACACCGGGAATTCCTGATGAACTTTCTAGGCCAACACTGGGATCTTTCTTAAAAAGCAAGTGAATATGTAAGGGTTAACAGTGAATTTATTCAATGTTGATATTACCATGGTAACTGACAATTATATACATAAATAAGGTAAATACATGGTGCATCAAGTGGCAGAAGCAGGAAAAGGGCGGACACAGGTGGAGGGGGCTTACAGGTATTCCTCCAGAGAAAATTTTGAAAAATCAGGTTGTCAATGGTGATTTATTTGCTGCACATATCTGGACCCAAATACAACGTTTAATTTTATCAGCAACAACAATACTGTAGTTTCTTTACAAACAGTCTCTGATCAACCAATGTCCTCTGACCATTCCTGTTCATCCCTATTCAGCTGCAATATGAAAATACTGCTCTACCCCCCTTCCTCTGTTCTAAGAAAAAAAATTTCTTGAAAATTATTATAAATTCTGTGTTAGATGTGGCAAGAAATGATTCCTTTTGGAGAAAAAAAAAATACAGTGAAACATAGAACTGAGGTGGGGAAAAGTGGTATTTTCATATTGCATCTCAATAAGGATGAACAGGAACAATCCGAGGACAGCGTTTATCAGAGACCGTTCCTAAAGTAACTAATAATACTGCAGTATAGTGAATGAACAAACCGCTCAAATTTAAACAATTTTTAACCTGTTATTTAGGGATGGGGGGGGGGGGGGATTCTTCGATTGTACCTCATGGGTTTTCTCCGGGTCCTCTCACTGCTAAAGACCCCTCAGCGCAAACAAATTATTGAAATAAAATTGAAATGACCTGATTTGTATCAAGTGGTCATTGAACCCCAGTTCTCTCTCTCGCTCTCTATTGAGGGGGGAAAGGCACCTGTTTCTGCCAGTGACATGATTACCTATATAATATAGCTATATATAACACTTATTGTTTATTTACATCACATATACATATATATTATACACAGTATATATATTATACACAGTATATATAAAATCACAAGACAACTTGATAGGGATAACACAACATGTGCTTATGTATACAATATGATGATCATGGTTCATAATTGAAACTGGGATATGGAATAAACTTCTTCAGCCAAAATATTATACATAGGTCACAATTCTATGGAATAAACCGGGGCATATCCAGAAATTTGAGCAGCGGGGTGGGGGTCCAAGGTGGGAGAATGTCCAATATGGCGTAAGGTTGGGAGGCACTACCCATGAATTTGATAAAATTAGAAGCTCTGAGACAATATTTCTGCCCATTTAGGTTGATACATGTATAAGATTACAGTGGAGGGAGCCAAAACGCCGTTATTTCCATGAATATAGGAGAGAAAAAATATTCTCTGTTCCAGCAATGGAAGGGGGTCTGGATACCCTCGGACAAGCGCCTGAGCAACGTAATTGCTTGATAATAACTGCCCCCACCCCCTCTGGACAAGCGGCCGATACAATTACTGCTTCTGAGTGACGTAATTACTTGATAAATGACTAGAGAAGACTAGTTGAAACATTGTTCAGTTATAAGCAGTAATTATATTCCATAGAAATGTGACCTGTATATTCCAGTTCAATTACTAAATGAGAATGAAGTAAATCAATATATTATAGGTAAAATCATTCTGATTAAAACAAAGATCCTATTTCGTTTGGTTTTTTATAGTTCCAAATTTCATTTTACTTGTCTTTACTACACTAGGATCTGAAAGAGTTTTTATCATTGACGTGTTCTGGATGAGGTGAGGGATTAGCCAATGAAACGGTCTGTTACGGCGACTTCTTGGTGTGCCATGCACAAAACTGTGGGTAAACCACAACAAACGTCAACGCTGATTGATTAATCGATGTCTGACATCATGGGGTCAAAAGCCGCACGTACGACACCTAACATGACCTCCCAATACAACTTGTCAGATCTTTATGTAGTGTAGGCCATCAAAAGTATAAAAAAAAAAAAATATAGATCTGGATTTTAATCAGATTGATGTAAAATCATAAGATAATATACCAGTAACTTGATAGGCAAAAAGACCATGTGCTTATAAATATTACAGGGATGCTGTTTCAAAATTACTGAGCCACCTTAGGCTTCCTATAGTCTATAAATTACTGAGGCATCCTATAGCCTATAAATTACTGAGCCACCCTAGACTTCCTATAGTCTATAAATTACTGAGCCACCCTAGACTTCTTATAGTCTATAAATGACGATATTATTATAGAGTTCACATTAACATAATGATTACTGCTGGCAGGCTAAATCGTACATCAGTGTGGTACCAACTGAGAAACTTGCAATCTATGCAATAAATATGAGGTCAATCAACAAATCAAAATGCTAATATCCTTGAATGACATTTAGAAGTAGAGGTATAATATTCACAATAACACAACTTTATGGATTTACTACTTCTTGGTTTATTACATGCAACGTTTCAATATTCTTACAGGTATCTTTATCAACGTTGCAATTAATAAAGCAAGAAGTAGTAAATTCATAAAGTTGTGTTATTATGAATAAAATCAAAATGCTTCAAATACATTTCTAGTGATCCAGGGCCATGAATCTTGGAATGATGTGTCCTTTGCACTTTTTGCTACAATATCAAATTTCTCACCTCCTGGCTTGGATTAAATTGAATTTGAAACCAGCCTATCAATTCTGTTCGCCCACAACAAAATGGCTGCAGGCTTATTACATAGCGAGCAGTATAGACCGTTAAAATTTCAATTCAACATATCTTTGTAAATATACCAAACGGGATTGAAGCATTTTTTGGTTAGTGATTTATCTTTCTATGCAATAAGACTTGAAACTTCTATCTGACTAGCTCTTACCTATAAAGTATTTGTCAATGAAAAAGACATCTTAAAAACTATAGTATACAAGAAATATTACGAAATAGTATATTAATTTCTGAATATGGCGGCCATTCAGCACTGTATACAATATACAGAGTCCATTGTATGCAATTACAATATTTATCCATCATTGTATAAAATACATTTTTATGGGGTTTTCCCTATTAAAAATAAATATTTTAAGTGAATATTAATTTGGAAGAAACACACATAAACCAGAAATTAATTAAATCAAATCTGACATATTGATTTCAATAGTGAATGAATTAAATAGCACAAAAATGAAATGAAATGGGATTTAACATCCTACTTTTCTGCACCAAGGTATTTTGCCTGCACAATGTCGGTATGGCCAACTGTCAAGGGTTCTTTTATGTGCACTCCAATGTGTACACAGGATTTCGGTTTTTTTTTTGTCCTACTGAATGACTATACAAAGTGCCTTGCCATACTCTCCATGCTACACCACTGACAAGAGGGAACCACTTTCTCCACCAAAGCAGGGATCAAGAGAGCATCCTGTTCACGAAGTCACCGATCCTATCAACCTGAACAACTACACAGGTTTTTCTCGGACCATGATGGAATTCAAACCCGTGACATTCTAGTTCAGTGCACTTATTGCTCAAGTATTGCAGCACAATGAAGAATTTCTATAAAAAGTGTACTTTCTCAGCAAAAAAACTGACCTACTACGTGCTGATGATAAATATAAATAGGTCTAACTACAGCTAGATCTATTTGTTAAGGCCAACTCAAGATTTCGTCAAGGCCGCTGAGATATAAATAAGGTTAGGGCATGTGATTGTTGGGGAGATTGTAGAGTTAGAGGGTAACTGTTAGGGCTAGATCCAGGGTTAGGGTTAGGATTGAGATTAGTGCTAGCCCTGTTTACATCTCGTGACCCTTGACCAAACTTGAAGTTGGCCTTATGAAATAAATCTAACCGTGTAACTACAATGATGAGGTGACATGAAGAATAAAACATAAAAAGTATAAATATTAGCACTGTAGTATTATCATACATATTGTACGGGAATTAAATATGAAAAATAGCGAGGTTCACCTATTTTTAATACATACTGGATTTGAATAATACGTACTGGATTTGAATATCTTGTCAACATGCGATTTTTAATTGTGGTATGAACTTGTCTACTTAAATAATGATAATGGTTACGCCCCTTTATTTTCGGTAAAATGTCCGACAACTAAGATTTTGAAATCCCATCACTGCTCACTACACATATCAAAAATAAAACTTATCTTTTATCATTTTATAATTTTATTTAAAGGAGCTAAGTCTCTAACTCAATATCATCCAAAATCTTCAACATTGAAAACATGATTTATTTGTCAAATTAAATCAACATTCATGTTGTGATCTTACCGGAAAAAAGATGGGCTTTTGATATCCAATATTTAAGACAAAATAATCATTTTACCATTGCTACACGAATCGTGTACCATAATGCGCTTCAGCCCCAGTTGTATCAAGAGACTCGAGGGACGAGGCTAGACACATTGCACCAAATCAAACGGCGTATGTAGACTGGAATAACCAGACGCTAGAAATTTGCACTCGCTTGAGACTGCTGGCTTATTTCGCCAAAAATAACTGATTTGAAATTGGAGTAAAAACGGAAACCATTGAATGTAAATCAGTTTATATACATTCATATTACAGTATTATATGCGTTGCGACCCAATTTCTAGATCCCAAATGTTAGCGATTTAGCTCCTTTAAAGGAGAAATCCCAGAAATATTTCAGTATTGAAAACTGGTTAATATTGCCGGGCAGACAACTCCTCGTGAGTTAGAGACTTGTTCTTCTCGGAGGACAATATATTGACTACGTGTCCCCCCCCCCCCCCGCAAATGAACCAGGGGTGTGGTGAAATATTTATATGTATATGCCGGGGAGGGGGGAGTCGATTCCTCACAGTAACGCCGAGTAATATTGGGTTGTGTGGAACATGCTAGAGTTGATTTGTAGCATATCTGACCCATGGTATATGTTTGACACTGGTTGAGCATTATGATTACAATGTTGAAAACCACATTGAAACCGCATGATTTTTTTACCATTTACGAGGGTGTGCAAAAACTCGAGGGTGTGCAAAAACTCAAAACCATGATGCAAAGCTCATCATTGCACCCCTCTCACTCAGCCCCTGGAATGGATCCAGGGATTAGTGGAGTAGAAAGGAACGATACCACTGGGGATAAAGAGGATGTTTAACACCTGGACCACTTGAAACTTCTGCTTCCTCTAAAACCTCCATACACTAGTTCTATGATTCTGGCAGGCTAAAGCAGTCTAGGTAATACTACCAGAAGTTTCCATCTAATCCGAAAATGCAAAAGGGGTCATGTTTCTTTAAAAGAAAATGGGGTAGTCAATATTTACAAATACCTGGTGCTAATGGGTTAAAGGGCCAATCCCGATAATATTTTGGAGAATAAAACTGCTTAATTTTGTGTTAAAACTCCTTAATATCCCGTACCTAAGGGCCGATCAACTAATTCAATAAGCAGTTTTTACGTTCCCGTCCAAACAACTCAATATTTTGAGCAGAAATTTTGAGGCAGGGTAAATACACCAATCCTCTATATTTTGGCGCTTAAATTTCTTACGAACTCAGACTTATTTTTGAGACTCTGTTCAAATCGGGATAGTCCCTTTAAATATTCAGGGGCGCACAACATGGCACCCCCCATGAGCTGAGTCCAGATAGGCAAATGGGTCGGGTTTTTTTTTGAAAATCAGACGGTTTGCCAGAGTTTCTTACATATTCAATCAAACCAAAATGAGGCCTACAAATAAATATTCAACTGAGTCATTTTAAAATTACTTAAAATACAGATGTGACGTCATCCTTTGATGTTGCATACCATTATTTCAAATAATGGTACTGGCAATGTGCCAAGCATACATTATTTATACTAGTTACAATTTTGGACCCGTGTGACGTACTTTGTTTATTGCATTGCACAGCACGTGCTAGTGTCTGTATTTTAAGTTGTTTAATGGTCTCAAGCTTAAGACATCGTGTTGTTTCATTATATTACTTGATGTCACACTCTTGACCATTAAACCACACATAATGATAACTACATTTCGACCCATCTTCGGGGTAATAACTGATTTCCTAATGTTAAGTGGGCTGATTTTTTTAATGGCGCACAAACTCCCTGGGAAAATATGTTTGTGCACCCCTGAAAATATTATGCCAGTGCATGATTTTATTTTGAAAAGGGAAAATTTGATTTAGTTTATATATTCAAGTTTCATCCATTAGTATTAGTGAGGAATATTCACGTAACTATGATAGTCTTTCTTTGCTAGTGGACGATAATGTAGAGTTAAGTCCCCTGACTGTTTCCAAATAAAATGTTTCACAGTTCGTAAGTCCATGTTGGGATCCAAGATCTGAAATAAAACAAATGAAAATGAAATTCAGGTTTAACATCCTACTTTTCTGAACCAACTAATCTAATGGAAAAAAACACAACACAATTTATATGGAAAACAATCACTGGTTTATACACATATAGCATGACATTTCAACAAGTATTCTCTTATTGTTTTCCATATAAATTGTGTTGTATTTTTTAATGCACCCAATCGCTAAATGCCACTCAAGGATTATGGTCTAATGAAGACTGGCAGACATCTTCAATAGAAGGCTTGATCTCTCTTTAACGACATACATCTTATCAAGGCCTTCACGTAATACCCCACATATTTCAGCACTAATTTCGATTGGGTACACGCCCAATTTGTGAGCCTATCAGATTCCTCGATCGTCGCGAATACCAAGTCTCGCGCTTTCAAGCTAAAATGTCTACCTGTGATAATCGAGTTCAAGGTTCATTCAATGTCAAGGTTTCCGCGGAGGTCGCGTTTTCACAACCTCTGATTGGACGCTACTGCTCACGTGTCTGTAGATAACATAGCTATAATTTCGAGAATTGTGAAGTAAACAAGCAACAGCCAGATGTGAAATTCGCAGTCGTTGCTTCAGGAACATGACTGGCAGAGTGCTATGAGCATTTCCATCTACTTCTTATCAAATTCCTACTGTCATGGAATCTTTGACGTGCACACCAATATCAACATAATTGTTGTAAATGGTAAACACTAACTTTAAGTACATATAATTTTGTTTGGTCATTTCTATCCCCAGTGGTCTCATTCCGTTCTACTCCACTATACCCTGGGTTCATCCATGGGGTATTCACGTATTCAAATTATCTACCCTTGATCGTAGCTCGATTCTACGAACCAATCAATAAACATCTTCTTTGATTGGCATTTAGTAATTGAGAGAGAGAGAAAAATGGGGTTTAACATCCACTCGACAATTCGCTTGTGTGTCTTTAGCAGTGGGAGGACCCGGAGAAAACCCACGAGGTTGGACAGGCGACCACTCAGGAAACTGACAATGGGCTATTTCATGTGCTCTTTAAACTAGAATGTCAAGACACTAAGATGGCTTCCTAAAGAGAGAGAGAGAGAAAAGGGTTTAACATCCACTCAACACAAACTAGGTCATTTCGGGACTAACATAAGGTTCAATTTTATTTCAATAATTCGCTTGCCCGTAGGGGTCTTTAGCAGTGGGAAGAAACCGGAGGACCTGGAGAAAACCCACAAGGTTGGACAGGCAAACTACTCCTTGTCACGCACAAGCGGGGAATTGAAACCACGCCAGTTGACTCAATGACAGACCTTATGATACAACGCGCAGGCGCTAACCATTCGGACATCCAACCCTGCCAAGATGGTTTCCAACACTGAGTTTCTTCACCAAAACTCCAATTAGTAATAATAAAATTACCAGAGATGTGTAACAAAGAAAAAAAAAACTTACTTGGTCATTACAAAACAATTCTACCCTCTCTTCAGCAACTGTTGTAAGATCTTCATCTTTGTCTTGACCATTACTATTGGCTGTTTGTGACCCTGAATCTGACCCTTGACCCAGAACCTTTTCATACACATGTTCTATGACCTTTCTAACCTGTATCATATCACTAGCTGATAGTCGATCTCTACAATATTAAAATAAAATTACATTATGTCTTATCATGAAAAATAAGTGAAATGTGGTATCTACACCAACAATAATAATAATAATTATATAATGAAGACAGTTAGGTCTAAATGTTAAGGCCAACTGCAGATTTCATAAAGGTCGCAAGGTGTAAACGGATGAGGACATGTGATTGTTGGCGAGATTCCATTATAACTTATAATAAAAAAATAAGTGAAATGTGGTTTCTACACCAACAATAATAATAATAATAATATGATGAAGACAGTTAGGTCTAAATGTTAAGGCCAACTGTAGATTTCATAAAGGTCATTCTTGGATGAGGACATGTGATTGTTGGCGAGATTGTGGGTTAGGGATTTACAGGTAGCGCTAGCCCTGTTTACATCTCATGACTTTTGACCCAATCTGCAGTTGGTCTTAATATTTAGACCTAACCAATGAAGTTTGCTAAGACCTGTACGGCTCCCATATGCATTTGCTAGATTTGATATTACTTTCATTGTTTATTACTTGCAAGCAATGTCTGTGTGTCGTGTCCGCAGATTTTCCTCAGGGTATTTGTTTGTTTATGTGTCGTGTGATTCGCCTGTACTTCCTATTTGACTTCTTCAAATTCAACTAAAATTGATGTTTAGTTAGTTTAGACCAGGGGTGTTGAACTCATTTTGATTCAGGGACCACATGAATTAAAATTACAAAGATATCAAGATAAAGAAAATATACAAAGATATCAAGATAAAGATAAAGAAAAAATACAAAGATATCAAGATAAAGAAAATATACAAAAATATCAAGATAATATATATATATATATATATATATATATATATATATATATATATATATATATATATATACAAAAATATCAAGATAAAAAAAATATATATACAAAAATATCAAGATAAAAAATAAAAAAAATAAAATATAGAAAAATATCAAGATAAAGATTATTTTACAGATTTATTTGACTAAAATCGTTACATATTATAATGCAATATAATACTTTGAAATGGACCTGGAAAACAATAATAAATAATTTCCACCGCTAGTTTCTAAGAATTATCGACACGTCAGTTTGTTAAAATTTGTTCCACGGGCCAAATTTTAACCGTTAACAAACCAGATCGGGCCCGCGGGCAGCATATTTGACACCCCTGGTTTAAACCCTGATATCATAATAACTCATCAATTATAAAATTACAACTTACTTTTTTATAGGTTTAATCCCTGTAATTGGATGAGGTTGAAGGAAAAATGGGATTTTATTAAACTTTGGCATATTTCTCTGAAACAATAAAAAAATGTCAATGGGTTAAAGGGGCATTAGGTAAAATTAGATAAAGAGCTGACAGTTCTCGCTTTAATAGTTAAAAAAATAGATAATGTAAAGAGAATATGCTCAATACTTCAGTCAAATTGCTTCACTCAGAACCGTGGTATTAACAATTTAATTTTAGGCTTGCCTCGATAATAAATATGTCTTGAGTATCCAATGACAAGGGGGAACCACACCGGAAAATCACGATCAACTTTTTCAACTAACTCCTGGATCTAACAGAGGACCTCCAGGTTAGTGAGAGACACAAAGTAGGTCATTTCGGGACTAGAACATGGTTCAATTTTATTTCAATAATTCATGGAGAAAATCCACAAGGTTGGAGACGACCTACTCATTGTCACGTACAACCAGGGAATCTAAACCAAGCCAGTTGACTGAATGACAGACCTTATGATACAGTGCGCACTTGCTGACCAATCAGCCATCCACCCTCCCCACCCCCCCTCCAGGTTAGGTGAGCCAACTTCTTACTCACTGAGCCACCGTGGTTCTTTGAAGATTGATGTGGGGTAAAGATGGTATAGATATGAATATATGGATGGGCTAATTCAATTAATCTCTAACTTACATTTACAACAACTTCAACTACCCATGATGGCACTGTTTCATTTAATAACATTTGTTCTGTATCACCACTGGCATCTCGACATAATAAACGAAATAATGTTCGACCACCAACTTCACTGAAATAGTCATATTTGTTGCATCCAGTTCAATAGATTAACAATAGATTAATACCAGAGAGGGAGGGAGAGAGAGAGAGAGAGAGAGAGAGAGGTGGTGGGGTTGAGAAAGAGAGACAGAGAGGATTTAAGGTTGACTAGACATAAACTATGGAATTTCAGGAAAGGAATGGTTGCATTTTATTCCAATAATTTGCTTGAAGTAGGAGTCTTTAGCAGTGGGAGGAATCTGGAGAGAGAGAGAGAGAGAGAGAGAGAGAGAGAGAGCAGAGACTATTATGGTTATATATCTTACATCCCACTTCTACTCGTTGCCACTGGCAACCTTTGATAAATCTGTCCTGTTTATTTTCAATACATGCTTAAAAGTATTCGTGTATCAGAAATATACAGATAGAGTACTGTTCATACTTTTATACTGTTTTAGATACCTATCAAGCAATAAGAAGTTTTAGATACTTATCAAGCAATAAGTAGCATTTGATAAGGATGGCTCTATACAATGCACAAGGAATATGTACATGAAACAACTAGTCAAAATCATAGTAACAAAACAAACCGGGCGGAACTACATGGCAGTTCAAAAACATATACAATGACATTAAATTAACATAACAACATATTACAAAAATCAATTATTATACATATCAATTGGCATCTATTTCATAATTTGGTTTGATTTATATTAATATGCAAAATATATAAATTAGAATATTGAATAATTATTTTAATTAATTGTGATGATAGAAGGCGCAGTTCTCTTGCTGGACACTTCACAGGCATTGAAAATAAGCAGGATGGAAAAAAACGTCTAGAAAGTCATAAACTTTATTACAAATAAATTTCAACGGAATAACCATCCGCCGATGCATACTTTCACCAGGAATGACCCACGTTTCGCATTTCCTTTACACTACATTTAACAATATCGCAGTCCTCTACGCCATAGACAAGTTGTTTTGACGATGTAGTCTAAACAAACACGTGATTGTTTTACGCTCAGAGTATCATAGCAAGACGCACGTGTAAATACTACTCAGGTCGTCTCTCCACTGTGAAATCATTCTACCATGAAATGTAACGTGAGGCTCAGAAAGGGATAAATGAAAGAGCAGAAAGTATTTGTCACTTTTCGGTTGAAACGACTCGATAATAAATACTATTTTTCACATTTTGCTTCACAATACTTGATAGAAATGTGATGTAAGTAACTTATTAGCACCTTTCCTCGGTGTATCGGTGAATATCAGGACAGTTTTGGTCGGGAGCCGCCTTGGCTGGGCCCCTCGACCAAAACTGTCCTGATATTCACCAATACACCTTGGAAAGTGTGATAATAACTATTACATACTGACAGACCAATTAAATTCGTATGTTGTTAAATTACCTGAATATAACAGGTGTGTGGCCAGGTACTGTAAAATATGATGTACTACCTTTCTCTGTACCATTACTACCATCTTCAAATAAACAAAAACAACTTTATTACCATATCAACATACACAAAAACAACTTTATTACCATATCAACATACACAAAAACAACTTTATTACCATCATAAAATAAACAACTTTATTACCACCTTAAATGAAACAAAAAATTCTGTAGTATCATCTTAAAATAAACAAAAACAACTTTATTACCATCTTAAAAAACAACATTATTATCTTAAAATAAACAAAAACAACTTTATTACCATCATAAAATATACAAAAACAACTTCATTACCATCTTAAAATAAACAAAAATGAGCTGTCCCGGAAATATGCTTAGGCATCTGTCACAGACATTATCAGGCATGAATACAGGTTAGATCAGGCACAATCGCCATACCCATTCAAAATGATATACAAGAAAGACGTAATGCGTCCGGTCTTGACAGTGGTTGTCTTCTTAATGCCGATGGTGTGCCAATTAACATCATGAGTGAGAACATCAAATAATTTAACAATAATAAGCACTGTAACCCAGGTATCGTTTAATCTTGTGTATCTAGCACTAATTTCTTTCACATTCGTTTAATATCAAATCTTTGTTTAAAAATTTGTAAAAACTGTTTAAAATCACCATAAATCATTTAATTTGTACTTCTGTCCAGTTTAAAGATGACCATTCAATTTTGATAATGAGTGTCCAATTTACAAGTGTTTAATTTCTCAATCATTGTTAAAAAATAAACAACCCAATTGATTAATGATGTATAATGATTAATTTTTGAACAGTGATCAGGAAATTAAATACTTGTAAATTGGACACTCATTATCAAAATTAATCAGTCAGCTTTAAACTGGACACATGTACAAATTAGATGATTTTTGGTGATTTTAAACAATTTTTACGAATTTTCAAACAAAGATTTGATATTAAACGAATGTGAAAGAAATTAGTGCTAGATACACAAGATTAAACAATACTTGGGTTACAGTGAAGGGTGATGACCTAGATAGAATTTTGGAAAATAAAATGTAGCTTAGAGATGTTAAATACTGTTATTTACCTGGTATATCTTCTAATTGAGCTTTAGGCCAATGTTCTAATAAAGCTTGTAGTAACGCTGATCCTATATTAACTGAAAGATAAAATCATACTTGATTTTATACAAGAAAGAGAGAGAGAGAGAGAGAGAGAAAAAGAGAGAGAGATTGTGTAACATCCACTTGACACAAACTAGGTCATTTTGGGACTAACATAAAGACTCAATTTTATTCTAATAATTCGCTTGCGCGTCGAGATCTTTAGCAGTGGGAGGAGACCAGAGAAAAACATAAGGTTGCACAGGTGACCTTACTCCTTGTCACGTACAAGCAGGGAATGGAATCCACAGCAGTTGACTCAATGACAGACCTTATGATTACAGGTGCACGCGTTAAACCACTAGACTACCCAACTCCCCCAATAGATATATAAACTATAACACATACTTATGGAAAAACAGCTACTTCTTTATTTGGGCGACGTTTTGAAGAGTTTTCTCTCAACGTTATCAAGCCAATACGGTAGCTGTTTTTCCATAAATATGTGTTATAGTTTATTGTTCTATCCAGTTACTAAATGCCTCTCAAAGATTACAATAGATATATATAGAGAGAGAGAAATGGTGTTTAACGTCCACTTGACACAAACTAGGTCAGTTTGGGATTAACATATGGTTTAATTTTATTTCAATAATTCGCTTGCGCGTAGAGGTCTTTAGCAGTGGGAGGAAACCGGAGGACCCAGAGAAAACCCACGAGGTTGGACAGGTGTGTCCTTACTCCTTGTCACGTACAAGCAGGGAATCAAAACCACACCAATGACAGACCTTATGATTTCAGGTGCACGCGTTAAACACCTAGACCACCCAACTCCCCCAACAGATATATAGTCAACATACCAACCTTTGGTTAAAACAAGCGCTATGAACTAGGAACAGACCACAGCGATCTTGTAATTATTAAACCAAAGAATTCAATCGATGCTCAATTGTCCAAAGAACAAGCTTGTCAATTTATGAGTAGTAGCTTACTCGACATGGGCTTTGCCCCAAGAAGAGAGAAATGGGGTTTAAAGTCCATTTGAAACAAACTAGATCATTTTGGGACTAACATTTGTTCAATTACTTTTTCAATAATTCGCTAGCGCGTAGAGGTTTTTAGCAGTGGGAGGAAACCGGAGAACCAGGAGAAAACCCACAGGCGACAGACCTTATGACAGACCTTATGATCCAACGCACACATGTTAAACCAATCAGCCATTCCCATGCCACAAGAAGAAGACAAAGAACACATGTTAAGCCAATCGGACATTCCCCTGCCACAAGAAGAACAAGAAGAAGAATACTGTTAGATTTTCATGAAATACAGACAGATAAATAAAATATTATTAGGAAGTTCCTGAACTTACTTTTAGTTTCTGGTGCGTCAGCTGGACTAGGTAAACCTAATTCTCTAATAGACATCCATGCAGCAAAACAATCAGATTCCTCTAGATGTATTGTTAACAACTGAAATGTAGTTCACAGAATTTATATACAGCTATTTCTTTCAACCTGCGTATCATTTAAGCTTGTGTATTTAGCACTAATTTCTTTAACATTCATTCACTATCAAAACTTTGTTTAAAAATTCGCAAAAATCATTTAAAATCACCAAAAACCATCTAATTTGTACTTGTGTCCAGTTTAAAGCTGACTGATTAATTTTAGTAATGAGTGCCCACTTTACGACCTCATCGCAGCCATCTTGGAATTATAAAATCGAGGACTTTCAATGGATGCCCAATTGTCCAAAGAACAAACTTGCCAATTTTTTCGACTTAGGCTTTGCCCCAAGAAGAGAGAGACAGAAATGGAGTTTAACAACCACTCAACACAAACTAAGTCATTTCGAGACTAACAAATGATTCAATTTTATATCAAGAGATCTTTAGTAGTTGGAGGAAACCGGAGGACCCAGAGAAAATCCACAAGGTTGGACAGGTGACCCTACTCCTTGTCACGTACAAGCGGGAATTCGAAACCACACCCCTTGACCCAATGACAGATCTTGTGATTTCATGCGCACGCTTTAAACCACTCCAAACCCCCAGGATAGTTAGACCATTTACCCACCCATCCACCTCCAGGTATTTAAATATATACACCGAAACTTACCCCAGTTTTTAGATCAACAGAGAACCAGTTTGGAACGAAAACCATTTTGAATTGTTTCTTGATTTCCAGATCAAAATCTACATTACCTTGATCTTCTACTTTTCTGGCCTGAAATATTTCATTAATAACAATTAAAATACAGATGTTACGTCATCCTTTGATGTTGGCGTATTTCCAATAATGTACGGGCAACTTGCCAATCATACATTATCTATACTAGATGAAATTTTGGACTCGTGTGACGTATTTCGTTTAAAAGCATGTGTTAATAATTAAACACAGAGCTCAAATATTTATACAACAGATCACAACTGAGTTAATAATTAAACACACAGAGCTCAAATATTTAAACAACAGATCACAACTGTGTTCCTAATTGAACACAGAGCTCAAAAATGTAATAGCATTAGGTCACCATCCCTGTTTTGCAGGATATGTTTTTATTTGTTTATTACAAAAATGAAATGAAATGAGGTTTAACGTCCTACTGTTCTGCTCCAACTGGGCTAATGAAGACTGGCATACGCCATACAGTGTGCTATGAGTGAAATTTTGCCCAGACAGCTGTGCTTTGGCTTATTTTTATATAGAATTTCAACTACCAAGGGATCTTATTTTTTGTCCAATCCGAATGACTAGACAGCTGTCAAACCCTCCGTCCTGCATCACTGACATCCTGAAGAACTTTTTCGGCTAACACAGGGAGAGAGAGAGAGAAATGGGGTTTAATGTCCACTGGACACAAACTAGGTCATTTCGGGACTAGCATATGGTTTAATTTTATTTCAATAATTCGCTTGCGTGTAGGGGTCTTTAGCTGTGGGAGGAAACTCGAGGACCTGGAGAAAACCCACCGGGGAATCAAAGCAGTTGACTCAATGATAGATGTTGTGATACAGCGCGAACATGCTAACCAATCGGCTAACCAATCGGCTAAGCATCCCCCTGCCTCTCCACCGCCTGAGACAAAAGTAATTTAAAAAAAAACAACAATGGTAGAACTTACAGTCAAGACATCCCACAATGCAACACAGTCATCTGTGTCTCTTGTTAAAATATGTCGTTTGTCGTTTAATACTAAATATTGACGAATACTAGGACCACCTGTAACGATAATAGATGTGTTAAAGTTATGTTTACTTTCATTTTATTATACTTTGACTTTCCTATTTCACTTTCAGACCACATGTGATGTTAAAGGGGCATTATGTAAGATTTAGATAAAGGACTGGCCGTATTCTCGCTATAATATTTAAAAAATAGATAATGCTATATGAATATATTGAAAATTTCATTCAAATTACTTTATTTTGAGCTCAGTTATAAATGGTTGTAGTTTTGACAAGATGTCTGCATTGATCTTAACGACCATAATATCCATTCAAGTCTTAACCTCCCTCTCCATTTTTAAATTAAATCATTAAATGGCCAAACCATTCTAATCTACTCAAAATCGGAGCTATCTGATGGCATCGAGAGTTGACTATGGTCTTGTCATGATAATAAATATCTAATTAATTATTTATATAACATTTAAAGACACATTATGGGAGATTCGATAACGAGCTGACAGTTCTCACTATAATAGTTCAAAAGTAGATAAAGTAAAGGGAATTTGCTGAAAATTTCAGTCAAATTGATCCACCCTAAACTGAGTGTTTAGCCATTGAATTTTCGGCCTAGTCTCGATCATCATTACTAAAGTCGGTACAATAAAAAACATAGTCTCGATTATCCATTTCATGATTAAATCATGAATGAAAGTTGAGCAGCAAATAATGCAGTAAATATCGCAGGCTAGCGATGACACCGAGAGTTAATTATGGTCTGGATTCTGGATAAGTTAATTAATGTCTAATTAATAATTTAGATAACATTCCAGGCCTAAAGACAGACCTGCAACCGGCAGATTTAGCTCTTGCATATTGTATGTTTAAGGCCCAAAGAAAGATCTGCAATAGGCAGATTGAGATCTTGAATAATGTATGTTTAAATATAATACATGTACATCAATGGCATGTTAATAAATGACAATGTTTGAATTACCATGGAAACTTTAACTGGCACTGTCTGTCAATTACAATAATGTGCCGAATAATAAGATACTCTACAATGTGTAAATCCGATATTCTTATGCAGCAGAAACCCAAACTAGTAGAAGAGAAATGAGGTTTGACATCCTACTATTCTGCTCCGACTGAGCTAATAAAGACAGGCATCCGCCATACAGTGTGCTATGAGGGGAATTTAGCCCAGACAGCGGCACTATGGCCTACTCTTATATCAAATTCCAGAAATTCCAACTGCCAAAGGCCCTTTTAAGTGTTGGCCAATGTGTGCTCGGGACCTTGTTTTTTCGTCCCATCCAAGTGACTATAGTTGTTTCTTAACTACTAGAAAGTTACTCACCTTTTATAGTAAAATCTGGCTGTGTAAATGCCGGAGAATAATTCTCATTTTCATAATCACCAGAATTTCTTACATTAGTCTTGATTGGCTAAAATAAAAACAACTAAAAGTATGTTAGAAAAAACCCAAAGAACATGTTAAAGTTGCAATTTCATATTTTTAAGTTATATTTTTAAAATTTATTAAAATAAAGCCTTAAAATAGATGGTATCTATAAACAGTCCTACCTTGTTAAAGAATAATCCTATTAATCCTATAATTCACTATTGCCAGTTGAGAAATTGGCAAAAATATCATTTTCAACTTCAAATTCAAATGTTTGAAGATAGCTATTAAAAGGTGGGGAACAGGAAAACAAGGGAGGTAATTAGGAGGTAATTGTGTTATTATTTCTGGTGTGAAGATTTTTAAGTGTGAGAAAGATAACCTATGATCGTATAATAGTGAGTTGACAACTTACTGAGCAAAAGACATAGAAATAATTATGTTTTGACTTTCTTAGAAAATATGAAATTATCGCTTTAAAGCGATGTATGCTCAACTTCATTAAAACAAATAAAATAAAATGTGATTTAACGTCCTACTGTTCTGCTCCAAGAGAAATGGGGTTTAAAATCCACTGGACTTAATCTAGGTCATTTCGGGACTAACATATGGTTCAATTTTTTTTCAATAATCCAAAGAAAACCCTCGAGGCTGGACAGACGACACTACTCCTGGGGAATCGAAACCACGCCACTTGACTCAATGACAGACAATATTATCCAACACGCACGCGTTAACCATTCTGATACCCAACCCACTTAACCATACATTATGCAAGAGCTAAATCTGTCTATTGCAGGTCTTTCTTTAGACATGAAATGTTATCTAAATTATTAATTAGACATTAATTAACTTATCCAGACCATAATCAACTCTAGATGGTATCGCTAGCCTGCGATCTTAAGTGGATTATGAGCCGATTTACTGCATAACTTTCCTTCTCGATTAAATGATTAAATGGATAATCGAGACTATGCTGTTTATCGTACTGACTTTAGTAATGATGACCGAGGCTAGGCAGAAATTTCATTCGCTTAGTTTTTGGTTAATAGTGGATCAATATGAATGAAATTTTCAGCAAATTGCCTTTACGTTGTCTAGTTTTTAACTATTATAGTGAGAACTGCCAACTCGTTATCGAATCTCCCATAATGTATCTTTAAGTGGCTGTATAATTATTTGACATAATGCTGCACCAACTTCTGAGTACCTGTTGTATGAAACAATGGTATGCCAACATCAAAATGTACTTTGAATGAAAATAAGAAATAGATTTACCTAGTTTCTAATACTAGAATCAGTAGTTGCTACCCATAGACTTAAATAGACTTACCCAGTTTCTAATACTAGAATCAGTAGTTTCTACCCATAGACCTAAATAGACTTACCCAGTTTCTAATACTAGAATCAGTAGTCGCTACCCATAGACTGGCTGGATCTGTATGAGATAACTCCAGCTACAATATAAATACATTGATATCATACATCATTCGTAGTTTGAGATTAGAAAGAGGCCAATCAAAAGATTTTATATAACACTTATAGATGGTACTGCCTTGTCTATATCATCTGCAGAGAATTTTGCAAATATTTAGTTCATCATACACTGAACAGAAATGAACCATTTTTTTAAAAATGAAATGGGTTTTTCTCTGACTGGGGTAATGAAGACGAGCATTAGCCATTAAGTGTGCTATGAGAGAAATTTTGATTGGGCAGCGGTGCTAGGGCCTACTCTTATATCGAATTCTAACGGCCAAAGGATCTTTTACGTGCGCATCAATGTGTACACAGGACCTCACTTTTTCATCCCATCCAAACGACTGGACAGCTGTTCTTGTCTGGCACCACTGAAATGGGGAAACCACACCGGAAAATCCTGAAGAACTTTATCGGCCAACACAGGGGGGCGAACCCGCGACCTCCCGGCTAGCGAGCTAGCGTCTTATTTCACTTTGCCACCGTGGTTCCAGTGTTTAAATCAAAACTATTATTGTGTAATATTATTAGACTGTCTAAATTAAAACTTTTACCTTCAATACTGGTGCCTTTTCTTCACATATTAACGTCCTGTTGTCAGGGTTACGTATATCAGTTGCCCATATTTGTCTGTCACGTCCACCGGAGTATACTGTTGTAAATGAATCATTCGCCTGTAAAAACAGATATTTAGTATTTTATTTCATATTTTTGGTTATCCTGATTCTCTCACTAATCATTGAAAGGCGACAATAATCATTGACATTTTGAAAGTAGGCAACCCTGCTCTTTGTCACGTACAAGCTTGGGTAGAAACCACGCTACTTGACTCAATGACAGACCTTAAGATCTAAAGAGCACACATCAGACCACTTGACTACGGACCCCTCTCCTGTCATAGATAGTAGGAATATTATCAATGTTGCTAACTATCATGCCATATGGTTGAGGAAGTATGTAAGTTCCCTTCTGTGTTTTATAAAAATGAAATGAAATGAAATGAAATGAAATGAAAATGAAATGAAATGGGGTTTAACGTCCTACTGTTCTGCTCTGACTGGGCTAATGAAGATGGGCATACACCATACAGTGTGCTATGAGGGAAATTTGGCCTGGGCTGGGGCCCTATTGGCAACTCTTATATCGAATTCCAACTGCCAAGAGATCACTTATGTGCATGCCAATGTATACACATTCATCCCATCCAAAAGACTAGACAGCTATCCTCGTCAGGCCCTTCGTTCTTCACCACTGACAAGAAGAAACCACGCTGGAAAATACAGATGAACTTTCTCGGCCATTGCAGGGATCGAACACGCGACCTCCAGACTAGCGAGCCAGCTCCTTATGCACTTAGCCACCGTGGCTCCCAATAGATGAAGTAAGTCCCCCTCTGTAATTCGCTTGTGCATGGGGGTCTTTAGCAGTGGGAGAAATCCAGGAGACCCGGAGAAGACCCACGAGATTGAACAGGCGACCCTACTCCTTGCCATGTAGAAGCGGTAAATCGAAACCATGCCAGTTGACTCAATGACAGACCTTATGATACAGTGTGCCAAGCAAACCATTCGGCCATCCCCTCCCCATTCCCCTAATCTGTGTTATATAAAGATTATATTACTATATTTTACCTGTAATGCCCAGACACCTTCATCATGTACCCTGTATGTAGCCACACATCTCTGTTGACCTAGATGCCACAATCTTATTGTACCATCAGAACTACCTGACAAGCACTACAAAAAAAAAACAGTCAACACTCATCAACATTCAATTTTGAAATTTAAACTATAGTGAACACAATCTGATTAAAACACAGATCCTATTTCGTTTCGTTTTTATAGTCCCCATAAAAATGGTCGTTAATTCTAGAATGTCCACAAGACTATGCAAGGAGTATAACTCTGAAAATAATGATCATTAATTGGTGTAATTTAAAAGACTTCTTTATCTGACATATATAAGCAAGGCATATAATGTGGTCAAGGGCCAATAACTCTGTAGACACCTTCATTAAACAAATTTATCTTAAGTCTGAACCCGAGAAAAACATTCCATTGAGAGAGAGAAATGGGGGTTAAGTCCATTCGACATAAACTACATCATTTCTGGACTAACATATTGTTAAATTTTATTTCAATAATCCACTTGCGTGTTAGGGGTCTTTAGCAGTGGGAGGAAACCGGAGGACAGAGAAAACCAACGAGGTCATTTCAGGCCTAACACATTGTTCAATTTTATTTCAATAATTTGCTTGCGCAGTGGGAGTAAACAGGGGGGACCCGGGGAAAACCCATGAGGTTGGACAGGTGACCCTACCCCTTGTCACATACAAACGGGGAATCAAAAACGTGCCAGTTGACTCAATGACAAACCTCATGATACACCATGCAAGTACTAACCATTCGGCCATCCAACCCCCCTCAACGAGGTTGGACAGGCAACCCTACTCCTTGTCACGTACAACCGGGGATTCGAAACCACGCCAGTTGACTCAATGACAGGCCTTATGCAGCCATTCAACCCCCCATATTTAGCATATTATTATGGTTATAAAAAAGGGGATAGGCAACCCTACTCCTTGTCACGTACAAGCGGGGATTCATTTCATTTAGAACCCTGAGTCATATTTTCAGGTTTATATTTTGCTATAATGACATCTACCTGTGTTCCATCTCTGTTTAATACTAAAGCTTTAACATTATCTGTATGACCCTTCAACTTCATCAGCTTCTGGCATGATCTGGGATCCCACACTCTTAAAACTTTCTCTGTAGAACCCGATACAATAACAGTACCTGGTGAATTCATGGCCAGTGAATATATAGAATCTTTATTACCTGCTACAGTGGATGCTGTAAAATATCATAATTATTATATAAAATATCATGACTATCATTGATTAATATGTAAAATATCATGATTTTATGTAAAATATCATGATTTTATGTAAAATAGCATGATTTTATGTAAAATAATGTAACTTTATGTAAAATAATGTAACTTTATGTAAAATAATGTAACTTTATGTAAAATAATGTAACTTTATGTAAAATATCATGACTTCATGTAAAATATCATGACTTCATGTAAAATATCATGACTTCATGTAAAATATCACGACTTTATGTAAAATAATGTAAAATATTATGACTATCATTGACTATCATGTAAAATATTATGACTATCATTGACTATCATGTATAATATCATGACTATCATTGACTAAAATGTATAATATCATGACTATCATTGAATTTATCATGTAAAATTCAGTTTTAAGATTTTATATTTACTACAGTGGAATCTGTCAATTCCGACATCGTGCAGGATCGATACAATATGCCTGATTACACAGCATGTCAGAATACTCAATTGCTGCACTACAGTACCTTCGAATACCGGAAGTTTTATTATAATGCACCCTCGAATACCCAGAACTTAAAATATGATATCGCATTCTGTATATTCACACATTATGAACATAATATTATAATGATAGTGATTCTTCATCTCGGCAATTTATAATAATGTTGCTGTATTTGATGTGAGAAACTCAAATCAGATACCAAGCGCTCTCTTACAAGAGATTATAAAATTATCAAGGTAATCAACAAAGACCATCACAAGTTTATGCTCACAGATAAATGGTTGGTGATTCCTTGTTGGTAACACCCACTGATTGAAGGCCAGATTATCCAATGTTAATTGAACACAAATCATGTGACAGAACCGCTGATTGATTTCATAATTAGCAATATTCAGAATCCGGACTACTCAAAATTTTTTCGGTTGAAATAATAAGGAAATAAATCGGAACATGAAAATGATGACAGATTTCACACAATGCCGTAGTATTCAGATGTCGGAAGTGACAGAGTGAAATGAAATGAAATGGGGCTTAACGTCCTACTGTTCTGCTCCTATACTGGGCTAATGAAGACGGGCATACGTCATACAGTGTGCTATGGGGGGAATTTTGCCCGGGCAGCAGCACTATCGCCTACTCTTATATCAAATTCCAACTGCCAAGGGATCTTTTACGTGCATTCCAATGTATACACGGGACCTCGGTTTTCCGTCTCATCCGAGGGACTAGACAGCTGTAGTTGTCAGGCCCTCAGTTCTGCACCACTGCGGAAGTGACAGAGCCCACTGTATCACAGTTATAAGTTACTAGTTTATTAAAAGGTGTAAAATGCTTACTTGTAACGGTATTATTTGAAGCTGTTAAAGCTGTCAGTGTATTAACATCCCATAAAAATATAGCTCTGTCTAATCCAGCTGATGCCACCTGTTCTCTATCTCTAGCATAGGCTAATGCCTTCACATAATCCTACAAATAACAAAATTAAAGATACATTATGGGAGATTAGATAACGAGTTGGTAGTTCTCACTATAATAGTTAAAAACTAGATAATGTAAAGGGAATTTGTTGAAAATATCAGTCAAATTGATCCACTCTGAACCAAGAATTTAGCAATTGAATTTTAGGCCAAGCCTCGATCATCATTACTAAAGTCGGTATGATAAAAAAACATAGTCGCGATTATCCATTTTTTGATTTAATCTTCAATAAGTGTTGAGCAGCAAATCGGATTCCAATCCAGTAAATATAGCAGTCTAGCGATGACATCGAGAGTTGGTTATGGTCTGGATAAGCAAATCGGATTCCAATCCAGTAAATATAGCCGTCTAGCGATGACATTGAGAGTTGATTATGGTCTGGATGAGTTAATTAATGTCTAACTAATAATTAAGATAACATTTCAGGCCTAAAAAAAGACCTGCAATATGCAGATTTAGCTCTTGCATAATGCATAGGTCATAACACAATACTTAGGACATTTTTGGACTACGGTATTTTAATTTTCATTTCAGTGTAGAATACAAGCGAGAGAACTTTTAAATTAACATTGTTATGTTATACATGGTGCTCAATTGTCAGTCCGAATTCACAGAATTATAAATCAAGTGATGTCACAATTCTACCAGTCCCAACAGCTGAGGTTGTGTGAGTAGAATCCTGATGTAATTTAAGTAACGAATATGTTACAGCTTTCATGATTGGTTGAGGTATTTTTTTTATGATTTTGGCACATGTATTGTATTTCGAAATTCTCCTTTTCATTCGATTGACACTATTTTTGGAATTGAGAGAATTTAATTCCGGAACATTCAATCAAGTATACCCATTGTGAATTACCTTATGTGTTCTCAGTGTAGACATGCAGAATCCTTTATGAGCATTCCATACTTTCACTGTTGTATCACTTGAAGCAGATATCACTGTAAAACATTAATAGCAACATAGAAGGAAATACACTAGCAATGGAAAAAACTTGAAATTAAATGTTTTAATGACGTCATCTGAGAAAATGATGATGGGCATATGCCATGCTGTGAGCTATGAGTGAAATTTTGCACAGACAGTGGCACTACATATAAAATAAAAGTTTTGGTTTTTTTTATTCGTTGGGATATTTAGTTGTACAATGGATTTTATTGAGCGGGAGTTGATTTCAAACACACAGGTAAGTTTATAATAACCAAAGTTAAACATGCATTATGCAAGAGCTAAATCTGTCTATTGCAGGACTTTCTACATTATTAATTATACATTAATTAACCTATCCAGACCATAATCAACTCTAGATGGCATCGCTAGCCTGCGATCTAAAGTGGATTGTGAGCCGATTTACTGCATAACTTTCCTTCTCCATTAAATGATTAAATGGATAATCGAGACTATGCTGTTTATCGTACTGACTTTAGTAATGATGACCGAGGCTAGGCAGAAATTGATTTTCTTAGTTCTCGATTCATAGTGGATCAATTTGAATGAAATTTTCAGCAAATTGCCTTCACGTAATCTAGTTTTTAATTATTATAGTGAGAACTGCCAACTCGTTATCGAATCTCCCATAATGTATCTTTAAGTAGTTTATTCATAATCAAAGAAATCCGTTTAAAATTTACTATGGTTCAGACAGTAGGCTCAATTCGCTAGCATTGGGAGGAAACCCGAGGACTCAGAGAAAACCCACAAGGTTGGACTTGGCAACCCTACTCCTTGTCATGTACAAGCGGGAAATTGAAACCACGCCACGTGACTAACTGACAGACCTTACGATTTCAGGGGTCATACGAGCGGCATTAGACATTGACTAGACATTGATTAATCAATCAGCATTGATGTTTCTAGCGGTTTATCCACAGTTCCATCCATGGCACGCCAAGAACTCGCCGTAACAGATGGTTTCATTGGCTAATACCTCAAGACAACCAGAATGCCTTTTATATAACAACTCTTCCAGATCCTAGTGTAGTACACACAAAAAGAAGGAGATTTTTAACTATAAAAAACAAAAAGAGAGAGAGAGAGAGAAATGGGGTTTAACGTCCACTCGACACAAACTAGGTCATTTCGGGACTAACATATGGTTTAATTTATTTCAATAATTCGCTTGCGCGTAGGGGTCTTTAGCAGTGGGAGGAAACCGGGGGACCCGGAGAAAACCCACGAGGTTGGACAGGCGACCCTACTCCTTGTCACGTACAAACGGGGATTCGAAACCACGCCAGTTGACTCAATGACAGACTTTATGATACAGCGCGTGCTAACCATTCAGCCATCCAACCCCCCAAAAAAACAATACTAAATAGGATCTGTGTTATAATCAGATTGTATTTCTACTTACATGTTCTCCCATGACAACATAGAATAATATCATTCACCCAATCTGTATGATGTTCCATTGATAAAATATACGGATCCTAAAAACATTCAAATTCATCTGTTAGAAATTAAACAAAATGAAATCTAAAAACATTCAAATCCATCTGTTAGAAATTAACGTCCACTCAACACAAACTTGGTCATTTCAGGACTAACACATAGTTAAATTTTATTTCAATAATTCGCTTGCACGTAGGGGTCTTTAGCAGTGGGAGGAAACCGGAAGACGCGGAGAAAACCCACGAGGTTGGATAGACGACCCTGCTCCTTGTCACGTACAACCGGTTAATCGAAACGCTGCCAGTTGACTCAATGACAGACCGTATGATACAGCGCAGCGCGCACGTACTAACCATTCGGCCATCCAACCCCCCCCATCGGGCATTATGGGAGATTAGATAAAGAGCTGATAGTTCTTGCTATAAAAGATAACATATAGAAAATATGTTAAAAATTTAAGTCAAATCGATCCACTCTGAAACGAGATCATAATGATTGAATTTTAGGCCTAGTCTCGATTATCATTACTAAAGTCGGTACAATAAAAAAAAACAGATTTAGCTCTTGCATAACGTATGTTTAAACTATTTTATCATCACACATATGTCAAATTCATGGACAGCAACATTATGCTTTAAAGCCATGCAAATTTGATTTTCTGTAATTTCCTTCTTATCAGTATTTTTCAAGGGCTTTAAATTCGAAATTTTCATGTTTTGAATCTTAAACAAAACATATTTTTCATGATTCAAAAGGCTATTTATTTATCAAGACCTGAACCAATCAGAGCATCCCTCCAATCACTTCAAATCACCAATCAGAGCACCCCATCCAATCATCAATCAGAGCATCCCATCCAATAACCAATCAGAGCATCCAATCACAGCTCCCCATCCAATCACCAATCAGAGCATCCCATCCAATCACCAATTAGAGCATCCCATCCAATAACCAATCAGAGCATCCCATCCAATCACTGATGAGCAACTCTGTCTATGCAGGGGTAAAATTATTTATCACCATGATTATTTACCTTGTTTGTTCTGGTATTCCATATTCTAATTATAGAGTCTCTTCCCGCTGAATAAAGACGATTTAACGAACTATCAAACTGCAGTGCATTAACACCAGATCTGTGATGACGTTCAACTTCATTTCGAATCACAAAAGAAACCTAAAAAGAAATAATCCAGATCAGATGCACACATTGAAACATATATACATATGGACATACATGTACCCAACAGCAAGGGCGACCTTCGGTTGTACGGACTTTCGAAATATAGTTCGACCTGCAGTCGTGACTAGCTATGCCATATGACAGAGCGCGGTTGGGGCAGTTCAGACTTTAGTACCCACCATAGTCTACATCCTCAGCAGCTAAGTCGTCGTGACTACTCTTGACATGATTCTTCACAAGCAAAACCTTTCTACAGATAAAAATCATTAGTATGTAAATAAGATTCCACAGAGAGAGAGAGAGAGAGAGAGAGAGATGTCCACTCACACAACTAGGTCATTTCGACACAACTAGGTCATTTCGGGACTACCATATGGCCCAATTTTATTTCAATAATTTGTTTGCGCGTTGGGGTCTTTAGCAGTGGGAGGAAACCGGAGGACCCGGTGAAAACCCACACGCCACAAGGGTTTCGTACTCGGAAAGGTGACATTTTTGGACTCAGGTAGGTGACATTTCGGACTCGGGAATAAGTTGAAAGGAAAGGTTGAACACAACCGTTAAATCAGTTTACAATAAGCCAAAAACAATTTTATAGTACATGTAAGTTTAAAAAGTCATCAAACTGAGTCCGAAAAGTCATCAGACTGAGTCTGAAAAGTCGTCGGATTGAGTTTGAACAGTCATTTGTGTGGAGCCTGAAACCCAATTTTCTGTATAGTTGGCTGGAATTTTTTTATCACAATGGGGCCCTGGTGATAATCAATGAAAACCATCAATGTATTAGGCCTATATAATTACTGTTACCTGCACTTTCTTTCTGCCTTGGCCGGTAGCAGTTCTGTGTGTTGTCATTGTCAACGGTCGAAATTACAGGTAACTCTTCTAATGACAATTCAATATAATTAAAGTCACTTCAAAGAGAAGGTAAGATAATCATCGGAAGATGAATAAAATCTGAAATGTCATATAAAAATGATTTTCCTGTTCGCTGTTGCTGATTAGGTTGGCGCTTTTTCGTTACAGATCATTATTTACATGCGTCTGTCCATAAGTATGACCTTTCTAAATCCCAGAACAAAAGAGTTCCCGGTTAATACTTTGTGGACAAAGTTATCTTTTCATTCGTCCTTCAAATACTGTTGACTATTGTTGTTTTTGACTTTCTTCCCTCTAAATATTTATTTTTCCATTAAACCGGAAGTTGATGAATTATCCCCCCTTGGCTGTGTAAAATTGCTGCGTCAAAACATAAAAGTAACGAAATGTAAACATGCAGAACGACAAACTGGTAGAAGGACACATAAAAATCGAAAACTTGGGGGTTAAAAAACACTGATCGACAAGGCCAAGACTTTAAAACAACAAAAGATGTAAATTTTTTAGAAAAATCATACAGGAACATTCTTACATCAAATCAACAATTTCTTTTTTCATTTGCGCGGGAATTTTGATTTATGTTAGCCTACACAAACAAGATAAGATTGTTTTGAACAATTCACGTGATCCTGCTGTCAGCCTGTTCCTAGAGGTTCGCTTTATTCATGAAGAAGCAGGAGGGAGGGCCTGACAAAGACTGAAATGAAATGGGGTTTAACGTCCTACGGTACTGTTCTGCTCCTAACCTGGGCTAATGAAGACGGGCATACGCCATACAGTGTGCTATGAGGGAAATTTTGCCCGGACAGCGGCACTACGGCCTACTCTTATATCAAATTCCAACTGCCAAGGGATCTTTTACGTGCACGCCAATGTGTACACGGGACCTCGGTTTTTCGTCCGATCCGAACGACTAGACAGCTTTCCTTGTCAGCCCCTCCGTCCTGCATCACTGACAAGGGAGAACCACGCCGGAAAATCTGGATGAACTTTCTCGGCCAATGCAGGGATCGAACACCCGACCTCCAGGCTAGCGAGCTAGCGTCTTACCCACTTAGCCACGTGATCCCCCTGCCTGACAAAGACAGCTGTCTAGTCGTTCGTATGGGACAAAAAACCGAGGTCCTGCGTATACATTGCTACGCACGTAAAATATCCCTTGGCAGTTGGAATTCGATATAAGAGTAGTCTGTACTTTGTGCCGCTGCCCTGGCAAAATTTCCCTCATAGCACACTGTATGGTGTAGGCTATGCCCATTTTCATTAGCCCATTCAGAGCAGAAAAGTCAACGGTAGGACGTTAAACCCCATTTCATTCATTTCATTTCAGACACAAACTATCACACAATCAGGGGGGGGTGTGGGGGGTGGTACACCCCCCCAAGAAGAAAAATAGTCGGTCGCAAAATCAGTGCAGTCGGTCGCAAAATAAGAGCAGTCGGTATCAAAATAAGTGTAAACTGCATACGCCACGCTACTCACGCAAAACTTTAGTATAAAATAACGTTGTCAACTTATCATGTTTGAAAAAATGTTGTGTTTCACTCTTATTCTGTTGTGAGTATGTTTGTCCATAAACAAAATTTCCCCCAGGGAGAAAAATAGTCGGTCTCAAAATAAGTGCAGTCACTGCAGTCGGTCTCAAAATTATGCATCGGCGACTCAATGAAATAATGAGACAAACAAACAATGCCAGAATAGATCCCAAATACTATGTATTTATGTGAATCCGTGAGCCTAAATTGCATGCGTCACACAAAACTATAGTATAAAATAACCATGTCTGCTTGTCATGTTTGAAAAAATGTTTGTCACTCTTATTCTGTTGTGAGTATGTTCTATGAAATGTTTTTCCCTCATGGAAAAAAATAGTCGGTCTCAAAAAAAGTACTCACCGCGGCGCAGTCGGTCTCAGACTAAATGAATTAATGAGTCAAACAATTACAAAACAGGCGAAATTGACAGATAGGCCACAAGATTCTGTCTCATTTCTTATCCTCTTGTTAGCGAGAATTTGGTTCCATTTGCCATGACAATGACTAAAATTTTCAGGCCCAGTTCCGAAAAATTAAAACCTCGGTTACATATCTGAATTTTTTTGCGCCTGCGGTGCTCGATTCCGTTATAACATTATTCTTCTATTCCTCTGTTTCTTATACTGTCTCAGCACTATCATATTCACGATTATAGTGACCTCCCCGTTATACTGGTGTGTGGGTCGTGGGGCGTCAGACTATACAAATGTTATGTCAACTCTTGCAAAACAGGGGGAATTGACAGGGGCAGATCTCGAGATTATGTCCCATTGGCTCACATTTTTGGTCCTCTCATCCCCAAGACTTTCTCCCAGCAATAACCTCAAATGCTAGGATATTAACTCATTTTTTAAAATTTTCTCAGGTTGCTCAGTGTTATAGGCACAATCATCATATATGACATAAACTTTATGTCAACTTAAATAAAACTGCTTTCCGGCGAGACAACGATCGGCGAATCGTGGATAGCGCCCTAGATTTGGAACCACCCCCACCCACCCCCTATTCCCAGCTTCTAGACCCGCTCTGCACATGGCCCCTAGAAAACTCGCACCTGTGGTGCGCAGTTCCTGACTGCATCACTCATACTGGGGGTATGTGCATCAGTCAGTCGCATTTTGGCTAAACACCCCCCCAAACAAAATCGTTATGTACGCCCCTGCACACAATGTTATATATTTTAAAATATACGTTGTAATAACGTGTGATAATTTGTGTCTGAAAAAGTCTGTGACAGATGCCTTATGTCCAGGCTTGCTGGTTTATGCATTCATTCTATGTAATTTTTCAACATTAAATTTCTTATCTTAGTTTACAATGCCTCAAAAATTTCATGTATTATTACAAAATTTTAGCATTTTCTTATTTCAGAATTTCTAAAGAATCTTGTATTACAATGCCTCAAGAATTCCATGTATTACAATGTTACAAATGTCAAACCTTTCAAGTTCAACAGGTGAAAAAAGCCAAAAAATGGGCTTGCAAGATGTGTGGAGAGAAACAGTCTATTTTAAGAGTATGTTAAATTTATAATTGGAAATAATAATATTGTTGGACAGGTAGAGAGAGAGAGATTGGGTTTAATGTCCACTCGACACAAACTAGATCATTTTGGGACTAACATATGGTTCAATTTTAGTTCAATAATTCGCTTGGACGTAGGGGTCTATAGAAGTGGAAGAGAGACAAAGAGAGAGAGAGATCGGGGGAGGGGGTCAATTTGGGACTACAATGGTGTAATTTGATTTCTATAATTCTCTTGCTCTTCCCATGAGAGGAACATTGGAGGACCCAGAGAAAACCCTGAAGGTTAGGCAGGCAACCCTACTCTTTGTCACGTACACTCGACTCAACAAAAGCCCTTATGATCTAATCTGTCTTGCATATAATCTGTAGTGCGTGACCGAGGGCCTGGTAAGGACAGCTATCTAGTCATTTCGATGGGATGAAAAACCAAGGTCCCGTGTCTACATTGGTGTGCATGTAAAAGAACCCACAACACTTTCCTCTTGAACCTGTCTTGCATATATATAATTCCAAAGATCTATTAACACTTTTTACTTACTTGTTGCCCTTTGTTAAAGCCGCTTGAATATTGTGAATGTTGGATTTTTAAAAGGAATGATCAGTCCACGAACTGTTCAGTTGCGTTTGATATTTACAATAATAAGATGAATTTAAATTTTGCAATGTTTGGCAGTCTCTGCAGATGCTAAAAACAAGTCAGGTCCCCTTCTTCATCCGATTGACTTCAAGCTGGGAGATTATCTACCATTTAGAGGGTTTGATGGCTGAATGGTTAGCGCGTGCGCGCTGTATCATAAGGTCTGTCTTTGAGTCAACTGGTGTGCTTTCGATTCCCTGGATGTCATGGGTTTTCTCCGGGTCCTCCGGTTAAGAATGTTCCTCAGAATTTCCAGCATAGTATCCCCCTTTCCGAGGTTTCCTTCCACTTCTAAAGACCCCTACACGCAAGCGAATTATTGAAATAAGATTGAACCATATATATATATATTTGTCCCGAAATGACCTAGTTTGTGTCAAGTGGACGTTAAACCCCATTTCTCTCTCTCTGTATCTACTATTTATATTTTTTTAAACTAAATAATTAAGCTGTTAAATATTAGATATTATTTGAAAAATGCTTTGAAATAAATTTTTAATTTTTACATTTTTAAAAAAGGTTTATGGGCGTGGCAGTGGAGCAGATTGTCGACGTCATGTTCAAAGTTTAAATGGTCTTCGAGGTAAACTTGATGAAAATAAAGAACATCGAGTGATGACTGCTAGAAGTTTAGAAGAAAATGATTCGTGTGTTAATAACTTCCAGGTCAGATATCAACTTGTACCATACAAAACTTAAAGATGCATTATGTAAGATTTAGATAAAGAGCTGACATATGGTTCAATTTTATTTCAATAATTCGCTTGCAGTGGGAGGAAACCAGAGGACTCGGAGAAAACCCACGAGGTCGGACAGGCAATCCTACTCCTTGTCATGCCACCTGACTCAATGAGAGACCCTCTGATCTTACGCGCACATGTTAACCATGAATGACCAATACAGTGGTTACGCTCAATGCACACTACAAATATTGATAACTCGCTCAAAATAAAGTAATTTTAATGAAATTTTCAATATATTCATTTTGCATTATCAATTTTTGAAATATTATAGCAAGAACGGCCAGTTCTTTATCTAAATATTACATAATGCATCTTGAATAAATTATTAATGATTTCAATTCAGTAAGATTGTATAGGTATAGGGGGGTTGGATGGCCGAATGGTTAGCACGTGCACACTGTATCATAAGGTCTGTCATTGAGTCAACTGGTGTGGTTTAGATTCCTGGTTGTACGTGACAAGGAGTAGGGTCGCCTGTCAACCTTGTGGGTTTTCTACGGGTCCTCTGGTTTCCTCCCACTGCAAAAGACCCCTACGCACAAGCGAATTATTGAAATAAAATTGACTCATACATTAGTCTCGAAATGACCTAGTTGGTGTCGAGTGGAAGTTAAACCCCATTTCTCTCTCCATCTCTCTCTCTGAAATCTGATTGACGCAAATTAGACCCAATTTGTACATTTTAGAAATAGTTTTTCCATACATTTCAGATTGATGAAGCGGAAGTATCCAATATACCTGTAGCGAGTAAATGGAGTAATTATATTGACACTGACGCCGTCGAGACAACAAACGAAATAAACGGTTCCAATAATGATGATAATTTATATACAACGGAGAAATCGCAGTTTGATGAAGCAAGAAAATCTTATTATAAAAAACAAAAACAGTGAGTGAAACCAACCTCTTGTCCATCCAAGGAGGAGACACATAGTCAAATTATCCGCCCTTAATACTTCTGCTGTTTTTATCAACCAGTCGAGTGGACAAAGGGAGGTAACTCATGAATTCAAATTACCCGCCTTTGATACTTCTATTTTTAGAATTATCTGCCCTTGATAATTGTAATATTTTTATTGATCAGTCGAGTGGGCGAGGGGAAGTAACTCACATTTTATTGCCAATAAGCATGTGAACGTAAACAATGACAGTAGGACTGGATGTAAACTGTTTTTTGATTGGTTCGTAGAATCAAGCTACGATCAAGGGCAGATAATTCGAATTGGTGAAAACCTTGTGGATGGATCCAGAGGTTAGTGAAGTAGAACGGAACGATATCACTGGGGGTATCGAGAATGGGTGGGTGGTCAAATGGTCGAACTCATTGAGTCAAGTGACGTGGTTTCAATCCTAGGTCTGTGCGTGACAAGGAGTAGGGTCACCTGTCCAACCTCGTAGGCTTTATCTAAATGACCTAGTTTGTGTCAGCGCGGACATTAAACCAAAAGTTTCTATCACTCCCTCTCTCTTGATTGGATTAAAAGATAATAGGGTCTCGATTGGTTTAGAACATAAAGTCTGTCTTGATTGGATAAAAACATAACGAGGTCTGTCTTGATTGCTTTAGAACCTAACGTGGTCTGTTTTGATTGGATGAAAACATAACAAAAACTGTCTTGATTGGATTACAACATCACTATTTCTAGTTGAACGGTTTGGGCATTCTTCTATATGATAAGTTGGCTTGTTTGTTAACCTGAAGGGAAGAAACCTCAGTGAAAATTTTCTATGTGCAGGAACACAAGTTTGTGATCTTCTACACCCACTGGTTTACTATGTTAGTATTCATAGCACACAGTGTAGGGCATATGCTCTCATTAGCCTAGTTGCTGCAGATAAGTTGGACGTTTTAAAACTCCATTTCATTTCTTTCTTTCAGAGAAAACTATAAACAATATGGTCGCCAACAAAAGCAGGCTTGTAGGGGAGATAACTACCAAGATGGTGAAAGTACTAAGAAAAAGCGCTATAGGGAAATTTTTACTGATACACACTTTCAAACCAAGACCGATATAAAAAGACTTCCAGATAACTGTCTGATTTCTAAACCAGCAAAAAGAACAAAATGGGATGAGTTTTTGACACACGAAATTAGCGAATTTGATCACGATACATCTGAAACAGATACAAATTTTAACGAAATTCCGTCACAAAATATTATGGATAAAAATGATCGGACATTGCTGACAAACCAAATGGCCTTGAATGATGATTCTGAAGCAGATACAAATTTAAACCAAATTCTGTCACAAAATATCGTAGATAAAAATGAACGGAAATCGCAGAAAAACAAAATGGCCGTGAATAAAACAATGGATATTCCCAATTCAACGTTTGATATTCTTGATTATGAGGAATTTTTAGAAGACGATATCGTGACATCTAATGTTAAGATAGGTATCACCAAATCTGCTCAAACTAGACCAACAAAACAGTCCAAGTGGGATTTTTATACCAGCCCAGATGTTTCAGATGAAGAGGCAGACACTTATCCCATTCATGATTGTTTTCATCCTTTAGAATCAGATTCCAAATCTCTAAATTATAATTGCCATGCAATTAGAAAGGATTGCCCCATTTTAGAAAAGACAGAAAATTGCACTTCTAGTAATAATTTTGAACCCCAGCCAGTTACTATACAGTCAAAACGTGATATAATGCCTGTATTTCACCCCCAGCCAGTTACTAAACGTGATATAAAGTCTGTATTTCACCCCCAGCCAGTTAGTAAACGTGATATAACGCATGTATTACACCTAGAGCCAGTTACGCCTGTATTTCATCCCCAGACAGATAATAAACGTGATATAATGCCTGTATTTCACCCCCAGTCAGTTACTAAACATGAAATAACACATGTTTTACACCCCCAGACAGATACTAAACGTGATATAACGCCTGTATTACACCCCCAGACAGATACTAAACGTGATATAACACCTGTATTTCATCCCCAGACAGATACTAAACGTGATATAACACCTGTATTTCATCCCCAGACAGATACTAAACGTGATATAACACCTGTATTTCATCCCCAGACAGATACTAAATGTGATATAATGCCTATATTTCAAGTAGATGATTTTAATGATGCTGAATTTGAATTTCTGGTTTAAAAATAAATCGGGTTGATATTGTGTTTATCTTCTCTTTAGTTTGGTGTGTATATTGTCGTCACTCTGTCGTCTCTTTTCAATTGTGGTGGGAGGTCATGGAAGGACGGACCCTATCGATGTTCAGTGTTCTTCGACATTCCTTTCAGGGGGGTTGGACGGCCGAATGGTTAGCACGTGCGCGCTGTATCACAAGGCCTGTCATTGAGTCAACTGGCGTGGTTTCGAATTCCCGGTTGTACGTGACAAGGAGTAGGGTCGACTGTCCATCCTTGTGGGTTTTCTCCTGGTCCTCCGGTTTCCTCCCACTGCTAAAGACCCCTACGCGCAAGCGAATTGTTGAAATAAAATTAAACCATATGTTAGTCCCGAAATGACCTAGTTTGTGCCGAGTGGAGTGGAAGTTAAACCCTCCCTCTCTCTCTCTCTCTACATTCCTTTCAAGAGTTAAGCCCCCCCCCCCTTTTGCCGAAAACCATGTGAGCGCATTAAAGGCTATAGTTTTTAACAGATTCATTTTTCGTGTGAAGCATAATGGTCATGAGAGGACAAACCCGATCAATTTTCAGCACTCTGCGACGTTTGATGTAGAGTTATCCCTCTTCCCCCTCTTTGCCAAAAACCTTGTGAACGCAATAGAGGCTACAGTTTTAAAGTTAAAAAAGATTCTTTTCAAATTTGATATTCAGCATTCTGTATCCAAACCACACCAGTTGACTCAATGACAGACCTTATGCTACTCATTCGGCCATCCCCCCCCCCCCCCCAGTATACAACCTCATTTCACTGTAGGCATATAAAAATAAATTGTACAAAATATTCCTATTATTATAATTTCTATTACCAGTATTACATAATTTATATAGCACACAGATACGCTAGTGCCATACCATTTATTCATTAAAAGTTATGAGTAAAATCTTAAAGATACATTATGATAAAGAGCTGGCAGTTCTCAATATAATAGTTAAAAACTAGATAATGTAAAGGGAATTCCCTGAAAATTTCAGTCAAATTGATCCCCTCTGAACCGAGATATTAGCTTTTGAATTTTTGGCCTAGCCTCAATCATTATTACTAAAGTCGGTAGATAAAAAACATACTCTCGATTATCCATTTTTGGATTAAATAATCAATGAGCGTTGAGCAGCAAATCAGATTCTAATCCACTAAATATCGCAGGCTAGCGATGGCATCGAGAGTTAATTATAGTCTGGATAAGTTAATTAATGTCTAATTAATAATTTATATAACATTTCGGGCCTAAAGAAACACCTGCAATGGGCAGATTTAGAACGATTTAGCTAAATTATTAATTAGACATTAATTAACTTATCCAGACAATAATCAACTCTCGATGCCATCATTAGCCTGCGATATTTAGTGGATTTGAATACATTTTGTGATGTATAATTTAACGTAAAAATGGATAATCGAGACTTTGTTTATTATAAAACCAATGTTAATAATGATGATCGAGGCTAGCATAAAATTGAATGGCTAATATCTCGGTTCAGTTCAGAGTGAAGCAATTTGAATTTTTTAGCATATTCTCTTCTCTATTTTTTAACGATTTTTACGAAAACTGTCAGCTCTTTATCTAATCTTACATAAACCCCTTTTATAAGATATCAGAAATACCATTAAAATTCGCAAAACAATTTAAATGCTAATAAGAGCTATATATACTCTTCCAAAAAAGTAGGGGATATTGAAATGCAAATACCTAGGCAGGTTGCGATATGATAGGGCCTAAATATAGTCATGGACACTTAACATACTTTGAGAGTATAATATGTTCACAGATAAAGAACTTATCGCCCCAACAGAACCACTGAGCTGCACATGCGACACGCAATAGCACCATACACGTGGGAGGGGTTCATTGTCAAATTTGACACTTCAAGGAAGAGTTGATGAAAACTGCCGCGTGCTGGTTTATATCTATCCATGTTTGCTTTCCTATCGGTTCTTGCATAAGTTTTACTGTTTAGCGTATCTTTGCTTTAGTGTGTTACGTTTAATTTGATCGGGAGACGTGTTCGTCAACGCCAACCGACAACACTGCAAGAATTGGCCGTGGCACTGCAAGAAAAGTGGGTCAGATTGCCCCAAATCGTGATTGAACGGTTGATTAGGATCATGGCCTGATAAACTGCTGAATGTCTGAGGATTGGTGGAGCAATTACTCATTATCATGACAAAAATCAAAAACGTCCATTTTCACCTTTGACAGTGTATCTCTTTGCGAGTGAAATGGGGCCGTCTCATAAGCCGCCCATATGAATTGTTTATGTTCATGTGTAGGCAATTTAGACCAGGGGGTCAACCTAGCTGAAAAGTGTACCAATTTTCTCCTATATCAGTGTATATATATCTGGTATCATCAGAATGTAAGTCTGTCGGGTTTCCATGCCTTAAATGCCATTACCCCAAACTAGGCTAGATTAGCTCAAAAGTGTACCAAATGAAAATCGTACAGCAGTGTACCGTACATCTTCGGGTATTACAAAAACACTCTGACAGACATGTCTAGTGGTGGGGTACCCCTGACAGAGCTATCTAATTGCCAGACATTTGTAGTGGTGGAGTATCCCTGACAAATTTGGAATTTTGAAATTCTAAACAAAATATTAAGTTTATAATCACTCTTAATGGATTGAATAGTCCGACAAAGGAGAAGAAATGACTTCTGTTCTGGATTGGATTGAAGAATTGTCCGACAAAGGATTAAGTCAGCCAATCAAGGCAGATTAACTAGTTAATCAAGGTAGGTGTATCAGCGGTAAAACATGATAAATACATTGATCACTTAATTACCTAATCAATCCAGCCTATTATCAACAAAAATCGGGTTGAGTGGTAGAGATATACACTCAGTACACTATATTAATTTTGGAATTTTGAATATTGTTCACCATATCTTGATGTCCGATTGAGCATATTCCTGGTCAGACAATTTGGGACGTTTGTAAATAGCGTTGGACATGTCCGGAATATACGGGCGAAAACCCATCACTGCTTGTGACGCTAGAATAACAAAAGTTGTCAGCCAATCTGCATGAAATTTATATGCATCATTAAAATTAGTGAAACAATTAAGAAATCTCTTAAATTTCAGCAATTTCGACAATTATGGCCCTTGTTTTACTTTGTGAACATTCAAATAACAAAAGTTATGATCTGATCTGTATCAAATTTATTTGCATTATTTAAATTATTAAAACGAAAAAAGTTGTCAAATTACCCAAAATCTGTAAATAACTACCACCAGATTTAAGGACCTTGTTTCATTTTGTAGAACCCTGTGAACACTCAAATGACGAAGATTATGATCTGATCTGTATGAAATTGTCTTTTAAATGCTCGGTATTATCTACAAAAGAATAAATATGCGACAACCTTTGTCGACTTGCTCGGACGATTTATCTGCTGAGGGTGTATTTTTCGTTTCCTGGCCGCCTATCTTCTTCTAAATTTGATCTGACAAAGATATTTTTCTTTGAATTCGATGGGACAGTGAGAGGATTGGCCCTAATTATTTTGCCAGCTCTCCATCCATCTCTTTCATTACAATCGCTTCATTAAAATAACACATAGCTTCAGATTTTTATCAGATTTTGATGGAACTTAAAATATATGTTTATGGCCCAAAGATCTCGGTTCCGGTCACTATCCGTGGATATCAGACCGTAACTTCCAGGATTATGACCCCTGATTGTACGAAAAATTGTCTTTTTAGCCTGTGGAGGTCATGTGTATACATTGACGTGTACATAAAAGATCTCTTGGCAGTTGGAATTTGATATAAGAGTAGCTATGAGGGAAATTTTACCCGGGCAGCGGCACTATGGTCTACTCTTATATCAAATTCCAATTGCCAAGGGATCATTTAGATGCATGCCAATGTGTACACGGGACCTCAGTTTTTTTGTTCCATCCGAACAACTAGATAGCTGTCCTTGCTTGTCAGGCCCTTCGTCCTGCGCAACTGACAAGTGGTTTGGGGAAACCACATCGGAAAAAGAAAATAACTACTTGATAACTACTTTTGTGGGAATGTATGTTTAATCAATATTGTTGGTTTTGGTTAAGACCACAGAAAACTGGGATGCTTATGTGGAACTTTAGAAGTTTATTGCACAGTAAATGACATTTCGAATGATAAGAAAATGCCATCAACCCCGGTACTTGACAGGCTGCATGCAGTGTTTCTCAAAACAACCAGTGCAGAAGAGAGATAGAGATGTGGTTTAATGTCCACTCAACACAAACCAAGTCATTTCAGGACTAACATATAGTTCAATTTTATTTCAATAATTGGCTTGCGAGTAGGGGGTCTTTAGCAGTGAGAGGAAATCGGAGGACCCAGAGAAAACCCAAAAGGTGGACTGGCGAACCTACTCCTTGGCATATACAAGCAGGGGATCGTAACCACGCCACTTGACTCAATGACAGACCTTCTGATTCTACGTGCACGTGTTAACCATTCAGCCACATCCTTCCATTAGTGCAGAATCTACGGCTTACTGGGTCTCACAATCCGTAGAGGCCTCTAAATATTATAAAATTATTTTTAGGGGGCTTTTAAATTTTTTTACAATATTTTCAAAAATTGCTGTAGAGCAAATCGAACAAGGAGCTTACACAATTTAGATAGCTTAATTTCCACCAGAATGGATCATAATTTTCCCAGACAACTGGAGCTGCCAAAAATGGCTGATAAATCAAGACATATAACAATTTTATTTCTAAAGTAATATAAAACAATTACATATAATATGGTACAACAAAATCCTTCTTTGCATTACATTATTTGAGTTTTGAGATGCTTTATGGAGATCGTGTATATTTTTTATTAACGTAATTGTTATGAAGGAATCTGAAACATTGATAGAAAATGAAATGAAATGGGGTTTAACGTCCTACTGTTTTGCTCCGAAGTTGGCTAATGAAGACAGGCATACGCCATACAGTGTGCTATGAGGGAAATTTTGCCCGGACAGCG